TATTTGCTCCTCAAATCCTAGAAATGCCAGGACATTTACCTCTCTTAGATCTATGTGAGGAGAAGCTGGACCTGTGTGAAAGCTGTGATATGCTGCTAGAACTCTTCCTCCTGATGGCAGCCTGCTGCTCAGGGAAGTGGACATGGATGGACTCCACTGATGCAGCAAGATTGACAGATTTCAAAGAGGCAGAAGAGTCTCTCCTGTCTCCGGTCAGAGAGAGCTCATCATCAGTATCGTCTTTATTACTGGAGCCATCTCCTTTCTCATCTTCATCCCACAATCCATGGCACTAGTGGAAAAAGAAGAAGAGAGCATATGAACCTTGCTTTTCTGTCACAGTGTTTCTTACAGGCATTGGTAAGCTTGGTCAGGTGTTCACAAGGGGGAAGACAAGTTCATTGTGCTGGGATATCAAAGAATTGCTTAGGTTGGAAAAGATCTGTAAGATTATCAGCTCAACCTTTAACCCAGCACTGCCAAGTCCACCACTAAACCATGTCCCTATGTGCCATGCCTACATGTCTTAAAAATACCTCCACGGATGGTGATTCAACCACTTCCCATGGCAGACTGTTCAAATGCTCGACAACCCTTTCAGTGAAGAAATTTTTCCTGATGTCCAAATGAATGACTTCCCTGTATCACATGACTTAAAAAATTAAAACTAAAAATAAAACCAAACTAAACTAAAAATGAGGAGCTACATGAGCCCAGATTACCTTTAAAATGGATCTGTGGAAGAATAAAGCAAGAAGCTGAACAAGATCATAGTGCACGTAACCCTCTTTCTTCTCAATGCCAATAATATTGGGTGGATGGTAAGGTTTATCTTTTGTGTAATCCACATGTTTATTCCAAGGAAAGAAGCCAAACTGGAAGAAGTACTTGATGACAATGGCCACCTGTTCAAAAGCACAACACACTTGGGTTGTTTTATAAGCATGTCAGATATAATTGCCTCATGATATTAAGAGGGGAGAAATATGACTACTTTGTCAGTTTTATGAGAAGATAAACAAGCATATTCATTGCTACAGAGGAGTAGCAGTTCACATTTCCTCAGCAATAAAGTCAATCAACATTCACCAACAGATGATGCTCAGTGGTACTTGAGATATCACAAGCAGTGAATGCTGCCTCTTGATCTACAATCAGATAGTAACTGTTTGCAAATGATCTGTTCTTGTGATAACTGCTTTACGTGCAGGGAAGAATATTGCTCACTGCAATGAAGAAAATAACAAACAAGGTCTTTTCATACTACAGACACTGCTGAGGACTTTAGCAAATATATATATTAATATGAAGGGCTAAAGGCCACTGATCCTAGAGATCAAAACCAGAAAAAAGACCATGCAAAGTTTTATAACTTAATTTTTGTGTGTTAGATGTGGGGTTGCAAAAACAGCAGCATACCTCAGTGTAGACAATGGCTGTCATCCAGAAACGTTTGCTTGGCCGAGGAACCGACAGCATGGCCCACAGGAATATAAGGATGGGAAGCACCAGGGTTATCATAGAGGCAGAGATCATGTGGTTAAGGATGATCACAAAATAGCACACCATTTCTGACCGGGCCACCAGTGTATTGTACAGGGCATAAATAAGGAGCAAGACTCGAGGCTGACCAACATAGAACTTCTCTGACTCCTCCAACTCATCATCATGAAACATCCTGTGAGGAGCACAGTACCATAAATGAAATGAAAATGAAATTCATAAGAGCTGCTTTTCAAGTTGGTACTATTTTTCCTTTTGAAAAGTCTTAAATTCTGCAGCTAAGTTCAATGGGGAAATAAAAAAAAGGGGGAAAAAAAGATGGGATTTGGTATTATAATCAAATGGCCTGATTCTAAGCTCACAAAACAAGAATTTCAGGCAAAATAACTAGAAGCACTGTTCTGATTTTTTTTAATTTACCCAAAGAGTTGGCCTGGCCTAAGAACTTCTATAAACATCACTTTCCTACAGCTGCCCAAACAACATACCTCATGTACATCATGCCATGCTGGTGTGAATTCCTATTTGAGTTATCAACACAGGTGGGAGTTTGGAGAAAAATCAGAGGTACATCATGAGAACTATGCTATGAATGGTCCTGGGATATAAGATTAGAACATGATAAATGCCCTTGAGCATTAGATGTGTCCAAACTTCTCTTTACATTACTCAAATAAATGTAAAAGGCAGCAATGTTCACATGTGTTCATAATTCTCTTTACTTTTCATAAAGAGTGCCTTGGCCTGAGAAGAAATCTCACTGAAAAGCAAAAATTACTGCAGTAAACCAGAAGACAAGACACTGTCAGATCTACACATCCTCCCCCTGTCTCCAGATGCAGTCAGGCTGAAAGGCATTTCTGTGGTTAAAGATTTTGTCCCAGCAATTGAGGAAGCTCTCCCCAGTTGAGCCAGGCCAGCAAGCAGATGAAGAAGTGCAGTGCATCCCCACCTCAATGCTGGTTGTGCTACTGAGCACAGTGTCTAAGGGATAAAGAGGGGACCATCCTATCCCTTAAGAAAGTACTTAACAAGGTGGTCTACATAGGCCTCAGCTCTTACTGGCTTCAACAACAACTGTCAAAAGTCATAGTCTCCCTTATAGTAATCCAAAATAATTAAAGGAGAAAAATTTTCCCAGATAGCCCTGGAGGAAAGTCATTCGAAATCACAGCTGCCTGTGGAAGAGAAGCTCTCTCCACAAAGAATATTTAGAAAAGCCCTTGACCCCATGACAATTGCAGCACAGAAATTCAATGCTAATTGGAACAATTAAATATGGTATCTAGGGAGGAAGCAGAGATCCCTTCCAAGATGAATTTGAAGCATTTTAGAAATCTGTAATTAGAACAACTGCACAGGAAATGAGCTTCTTCCCTTGATCCAAACTTAGCACAAGGTCTGTATCAGAAACTGTAGGATAGTTCTGAGACAAAAACACAAGGTAATGAAAAAACTACACATTGTGACCAACAATTTTTCCTTGTTGAAGGTTCTTACTTGTTCAGAAGCAGCTCACTAGCCGTTAGCTCATGCGTCAATGGGGGTAGAATCGTATCAAGTTTGTCCGTCCGACTGTCATCTGGGCTCACCATCATGAGGCTCTTACCAGCTGAGTCATCTGGGGAGCCAAAGGGAAGATGTTCAAAGCTGACAGCTTTGCTATAGGAAGGTGGAGCTTCTGCATTGCTATCCACTGTGGAGTACAATGGCACATCAGTATCAGGAGTATATGCAGCTCCTTCTGAATCCAGGCTATAATCTTCCACCTCCTCTTCTTCCAACCTTGATGCAGAATGAGCTCCTTCCTCTTCATGCTCCCCTTCTACCTCCTCAATGGTTTCTGTTGTTCCCTGACGAGAATAGAGCATGGTGACCTGTGTAGGTTCACTGTCAGAGATGGACGAAGAAGGAGAGTTGAGGTTTACAAGGCTTATCACCAAGCAGTTTGTTAATTGTACCTTTATGCAGACAGCTGAGCAACCCCATTGCACTCCCAGGCCTCCAAAGTTCATATAATCTGGTATAAAATATATCATCATGACCTCTTCTTACACAGATGGAACATCTTGGTCCATCTGTCCCGTGAATGACATCCCACTGAACTCACAGTGATTCACTATCTGTTCACATCAGCAACAAGAGAAATTACACTAACTTTATGAAAGTTGTTCCAACACTTTCTGACCAAAGTCAAGACTTGCTATTACATCTATTTAAAGGATGATCCATGGCAAATGATAGGCAACCGTGGGGTTCCTTCTAAATATGGTGCTTTTAACAACCACTGCATAGATGTTGTATACAACTGGAACATGAGCTGAACGCACGTGTATCAAGTCTGACTCTAAATAAAAGAACAAGTAGATTGCTAACATGGACAAATACAATCCAGATTACAAAACTGTTCCAGTAACAGGGTATCTTGCTTACCTTTAGATTGCCCTATGTTCTTTAATATAGTCTTCATTTTTACTTTACCTGCCTGCTTTACTTCTGAATGTACCTATTTTCTTTTTTCCAACTGTCCTCATTCACTCGTCTCAGTTTTTCATTTGATCCACCTTACTTATTCTTGGCTTTGCATATAATCATAGAATGGTTTGGGTTGGAAAGGACCTTAAAGACCATTTAATTCCAATCCCCCTGCCACGGGATGGGACAACTTAAACTAAACCAAGTTGCTCAAAATCCCACCCAATCTGGCCTTGAACACTGACAGGGATGTAACATCCACAATTTCTCTTGGCAACCTGTTCCAGTGTGTTATCACCCTCTGACTAAAGAATGTCTTCCTAATACCTAATCTAAACATACCCTCTTTTAGTATAAAGCCATTAACACTTCTATCACTACATAACCTTGTAAAAATTCCCTCTCCAGCTCTCTTGTAGGCATCCTTTAGGTACTGGAATACTGCTCTGAGGTATCCCCTGAGCTGTCCCTTCTCCAGGCTGAAGAGACCCAGCTTTCTCAGTCTGTTCCCGTAGGAGAGGTGCTCCAGTCCTCTGGTCATTTTTGTGAACTTCCTCTGGACCTTGTAGGCATAGGTACTGGAATACTGCTCTGAGGTATCCCCTGAGCTGTCCCTTCTCCAGGCTGAAGAGACCCAGCTTTCTCAGTCTGTTCCCGTAGGAGAGGTGCTCCAGTCCTCTGGTCATTTTTGTGAACTTCCTCTGGACTCACTCCAACAGGTCTATCTCCTTATGTTGTGGGCCCCAGAACTGAATGCGGTACTCCATAAACACTTTCACTGGAATACTGCTCTGAGGTATCCCCTGAGCTGTCCCTTCTCCAGGCTGAAGAGACCCAGCTTTCTCAGTCTGTTCCCGTAGGAGAGGTGCTCCAGTCCTCTGGTCATTTTTGTGAACTTCCTCTGGACTCACTCCAACAGGTCTATCTCCTTATGTTGTGGGCCCCAGAACTGAATGCGGTACTCCATAAACACTTTCTCTCTTAATGTTCTGTGTACTGCTTCAGTCTCGGTTGTTGTAAATCTATGTAGCTTGACGACTCCAGATGGGAATCCGGACACCATAATATTTGTTGGCTTTGCTTTTACCCTTTTCACCCCTCTCAAGTATTTTTTCACTTCTCCCCTTGAACATCAGTCTTTCTCTTTTTAGACTTCATTCCCGTCCTTCTCCATAGGTTAGACAACAGGCATTGACTCAGTGCCTTTTGCTGGCTGCATGTTCTTGTATCTCAACAGAGACAAAACACAGCACCTATGAAATGAATGGGGCCATATTTTCACCTAAAGTATAACCTTTTATGGAAAACTGGCACTGGCAAAGCCATCTGGCACTACAACCTACTGCCAAAATTAAAAATAAGCTTCATCTCTTTTTCTTTTACACTGTTTCCAAACTTATTGTGGCTATGTTAGACTACTTTATTTCTAGTGGACTTTTAATTAGAACATATAACACTACTGTGGTGTGTGTTTTGATGATTCACAGTAGCACTCATCCTGGTTAAAATGCACAAAATCATAACATCCCATAATTTCAATAGTGATTGATAACAAAAATTTTGTAAAACACTTTCAACACTGAAAACCAATGATGCATATGCCATAAAATTTAATATTTATAATACTAGTTGAAACACTGTTTCCCAATGTCATATAAATCCCTGGGTTTGCCCACTAAAATTTGAGTTAACAGCTCTGAACAGTTCTCTCTTGCACTGGATATAATACTATTGACTATCTTCACATAGCTATTTTCCCTTTCTTATTTCCAACACCTTAAAGACTGTAAATCAATGGTAAAGTAATCAAAACATATTTAGCAATCCTTCCTATATGGAGAAAACTAAAAATTGAAAAAACAGGGCCAACGTTGTCTATCTTAGTTTCTAAAATTAGACATCTAAGTCCATATTTAGGATAACTGATTAGCTGAGAAACTTCACTTCCAGCCTCCAGTTTAAGAACAACCATCAGCTCAGTAACTCTGAAAATCAGACTCTTTTTTAGCTGAATAAATACAGACTTTAGTCTGGTTTTAGACACCCAATGTAATGCAATGAAACAAGTTTTAAAGGTACATGAATTATGGACAAAAAACCAAACCAAACCAAACCAAAAAAAACCCTCCCCCAAAAAACCAAAACCAGAATAAGAAGTGAAACAGCAAAGGAATCCTAGATAATGACCCTGACTTCAAACGTCAGAACCACGCCACAACACAGAAGGGAGTAAAGCTTCCACTAACCATGCAAACCACTCTGTACACCATGTATCTGCAAACACAAATTTATGTACACTGCAGTAAGTATAATGGTATGGGTAAATGAGTCAACAAAGCATGCATGAGTTAAGCACCTTGACACTATACTGCCACTGTCAGCTGATGAGGAGGACATATCCATGCTCTGCATTTTACGAAGCCTAGGTCGAGCGCGCTCACTTGTTTTAGGAACAGTGTCTGGTCCATCTAAATCATCAAGGGTTGACTGCCTTGAGAACAGCATGGTTGCTTCAGTGTAGCAGCTAGCACCGCAAACAGTTATAAAGACAGTGTTAAATACAAATGGTATTACAATGCACATGGTTCAGTAAACAAATATGCTTGCCATGCAGCAAAACATCAACACGGAGAAAAAAGGTTCAGAGAGAAGATAAGGATTTGTTTAGAATCACCGTGAAAACACATTTCTATGCACAGTTTGCTCATGGTCAAATTCACATAGGGGCTAGAGAAGGCTAAGAACCATCTATTCACTATTCAAACAGTTATGAAACCAGCACAGTGCTCTACATGCTTTCCAGGGGCACAAACTTACATATGTGAGTAGGTTTTATTTTGTTTGTTTCCCCCTGAAATTTCCAAATTCCACAAGAATGTTTTTGGAAGTGACCTCCTCTGTACAAATTCCATTTTATTAATTATATACTGTGCTGAACCTTTTTACACAGGTACAAGCCAATTTCCTAAAAGAGCCCTTAAAACTGAATCAGCTCATATTCCACAAATAGAAAAATAGCTGTCAGACATTGGCTAATTCTCTTTCCGAACCAAAGAGCCAAATCGGATATGTTACTTAGCCAGTAGACACATGCCAAATATAACCTGCTCTGCATGGGATAGCTTTTATTTTGATATTTAGTAGGAAGCCCTGATGATTCTTTCCAGAAGATTTCATCTATTTCAATCGCAGCTTAAAAGTATTTCAAAATTGGTAACATGCACATCTTGAAATAAAAACCAGATATAATAAACCCTTATCTCCTTTCACTTATCAACTGCAGCAGGACACCAGAGACATACACCATACATTGAACATTTATGTGTTACTGGAGAAAAGAAGAACTGGATGAGTTATGAGAAAGAAAGTATGTAATTAAATACAAGCATATAATATAGCAACAGGAAAGAAGCAAATACATTAATGACATATGGTAGGTAAAAGAATTATTTCTTCTGTAAAAATCTTTGAAAAACACGGATGTCTATGAAATGAGTTGAGTGACCTGGTGTTTTAAGACATGCAGTGACCTGCCTGAGTCTTTCAGATAGAATGAGGGAAGAAAGGACCCCAAAATGCAGGATTTACACTCTACTTTTCTTCTTTTGAGTCCATCTGTGTTACCTGAGCAGCGGCAGCAGGGGATTTGCTTCCTTGGCAAGCATTATGTTTGTCCAGGGGTACAGAGAATTGGGAAAGAGGTCAGAAAGGAAGTGCAATGGTGTTTTCCATGTTGCTTTGGTCTTGCTAGCTTGAAGTGAGGGAAAAATCTGCTGGCATGAAGTGACAGTTTGCAGTTATTGCCTTAAGGAAAATGGGGAGGAAACAGCAAAATGTGTGGACTGAAGAAGCAGTTATTCTTAGGCCTAGCTTCACTGATGATCTTTTTTGACAGAATGGTCTGAGGCCAAAAGCATACCTTGGTCTTTGAATAGAAGAAAAGAATCAACCAAGATACCAAAGGTATTATGAAATATTTTCCGTAAAAACAGTCTTAATGGCAAAGGTACCTCTGTCCTGCCAGTTCACTTGGCCAAAACCCTTTACAAGCCACTTCATTATTTCTGTGTGTGTGCAAAGGCACACAAGGTCTTCCAGATAAAATCTGGGGTGCAATCTGTATGGTGCAGACTTTTGACGAAGCAGCAAATTCTGCTTCCAATGGGAATAGGAGATCTGACCTAGAGGCCTGTTTCAGCAGCATGGGAATCAGTTCAAGCTCCATATTACTAACTCAGGGTGTCCCTGAGGGAGGAGGTTTCCCTCTGTACATACACCTATGGAGTAGAGTCAGGTTCTTGTTCCATCAGTGAAGTTTTGGTGCTAAAATACGGGGAGATGGCAGCAAGTAGGCAATCTGTTTTTGCAGATTACCTTTCTATGTGCTCATGTTGTCCATGTTATTTTAGACCTCAAAGGCTGACTTTATTCTTTTCAAGAGCAACACCTATTACTAAGGTTGAAGTATTTTAAATGCAGAGCAGCTGTTGAAATCAAAGTGGCACATGCCCATTCATATATTTTCAATGGAAGAAACATATGCCAGCTGCCCTCCCAAACATGAAAGTTCTGACCTGGTTCCCAGAAAAATCAAAGGAAAAACATCTATCAATCTCAACAGATAAAAACATTTTCTCAGATGAGTGCTTGCAATAATTTGGTATAAAACTGTTTAAAATAAAGAACGAATACTCAGAATTATTATTGACTGAGCAGCTGCTCTGTATCCTTGAATGTCAAGAGATGTGTATGAGACAACACCTATAGCACAGTCTGTATATTCTTTATGCACTTTAGGAACATCTCAACATGGAGGAAATGAGAACACCAAAAAAATGGAGAGATTTACACTGGGCAAAGCTGATGTTTACTCAAGTTATTGACTATCATATAAATTTGATCCAAGCATATCTTCCTGAGTGACTTTTCAAATTTGTCTTCTTGGAGACCTTGAAAAGCATTAGTTTGTTGATATTTCAACTCAAGGACTAGATATTTTAAATTGAATGTTCATTAAAAGCACCAAGTTCAAGCATTTTGTATAAAGTTGATCAGGCATCCATTTCAAATGGGGATATATATAGCAGAGATGTTTTTATCCTCCGTGAGCGGGAAATTTCTTAGTTTATGACTTCCTTTTTGCTGAACAAGTGTAACCTTCCTAATAAGTTTATTAGCTTAAAGGATGAGTTACAAATTTTTCTGGTCTTTTTTTCTGTCCATGGGCTAGATACTGACTGGCATTATCTGCATGAACTAGTACATTGCCCACATCTGCAAGAACAAAATCCCAAACAATTCCTATCTTTTACAGTCCTAAATCAGACTCTGATTCAGCACAAATGGGGATTCTCCTTTCATCCTTTCTCCTGCCTTCCTAGGCAAACATTACTTCTCCAGAATTCCCCGCCTCAAGTCCTGTTCTCCCATCTGGGGAGGGAAGCACAGAGAGATACCCTGACCACATTTGTATGTTTACACTTATAGGAGGGTGAGTGGATCCCACCTGCAGCTCCTATAAAAGTCTATATGAAGGTAGAGTTGGAAATCGAAAAGGCTATTTGTGATGGACAAAAATTAACACAAAGTAAACTGGATGCAAAACCTTGGATATCCCGAAATCTGACGTTGGACCTGTGTCTAGCTGCTATTGCATAATGACATAGGCAGCAAACTAGTTTTATAAAGTTCCCAGTCATCTTACAGAAATTCGTTTAGCCTAATAAGAAGTTCATCAGCCAAATAGAAAAAAACTGCATCAAATGCTCTATTTCATCCCAATCCCTTCTGGTGGTGTTCCTCAAAGAGCTTGTTATGGATCAACATCAGTCCCTTCTCCTTCTGGCCCATGTGAATTTTGCACTTTGCATTTAGTATACATCAGAGTATTTATACATAAAGAGAAACCGAACAAATACTTTACAACTATCTCATTATACCTCTAGCTATTGTGTAGAAAAAAGACTGAAAATGTGACAGCCCTACTAAAAGAGAAAACCCCACAATGAATACTCTGCAAAACACCTTTTAAAACTTCAGGGTAAGAACAACGTCCCTGGATTAGACTTATGAGGATCAGTCCTGAACTTCACAAGAAATTTACAGTTCCTTCAGTTGATCAGGGGGGTTGTTCTCTCTGGAAAACCAGTTTTTACAGCACTGAGCAGATCCCACAGTAATTCTTGTCCTGAGTACTGAGGAATACGCCCTATTATGATGGAATAGCTTCTGTGCAACAGCATTCCTATGTGCTTCCAGATATCCTCACCTTAGTCACAGACCTAAGGTCTAATACAGAATTTTGTGCAGGGCAACCAAAGGATAACTGGAACAGAAACCTTCTGCCCCTTCCCAAGAGTTTTCCATTGCAAACCAAAGTCCATGATCACAGAGATGCTTTAGATTTAATTCGTTGCTTCTACATTTACTGGAAATCATTACTTCGAAATATAAAATGCTACCTTCTCTTGTTTGTGCCATTCAAAAAGAAAAATCGCTCAATAAACTCACATGCAGTTTAAAACCCTTCACAACTCTAAAAAAGCACTTCTGTAATCCCTGGAAGAGATATGCAAGGCTGCCCCAATAAACAGATGGCATTATCATTCAATCAACAGGCTCATTTTTGCTTCCTCCAATTACAGGTCATCATTATTATAGCAGATGTCCATAATTTGTAAATACTCAGTGCAAGAATATTTGATTTTTCATTACCAGAAAGAGAATCTGAGATTAGAGAAATCAGTAATAATATTGCTATTCCTTTGTTGACAAATCCTGTGCCTTTTTCTGAGGAAACAGAGATGACAAAAACACATGTGAAATATTTAACTTTTTCTGTTGAAAAGCAGCACCACAGAATCATTGAATTCTCTGAGTTTGAAAAGATTTTTAAAATGTGTACATATACTGAAAGTGGGGTAAAAAATGGGTGGTTATTCTGAAAAAAAAACCCAAAACTAAGTAGAGCTCAACACTGGATACCATCTCATTGAACAGGCAGAATCTGCACATGAAAATGACAAGATTTGTCTTTCTTATTTATAATTAATTTTAGAACTGGCTTCCCTTTGCTTATAGTTAAAGTTCCTGCTAAACATGATTGTATAATAGTAACTTCTTCTACCTACAGTAAGCAGTGTGACCAAAAACCATTTAATGAAACAAGGACTGATACTATTATTCATTCTTTAGGTGAGACTGAACTTTGTGGAGTTAAAATCTGCCCTGGAGATATCCAAGTGGCTCCAACTGAGTTGGTAGTAGAATTTGACTTTACATTTTTTCTCACACCATCTGACTCCCGTAAATCTTTGAGACAAAACACAAAGGTGTTGCTTAGTTAGGTAACTAGCCACCGAGAAAGATTTGCTCAGATTTAATTTATTTTTTAACTGGAGTGAACCTCTCAAAGGGCAGTGCTCACCCTGGGGAGCAATCTGTGGATATTTTGTTGAAGTATAGTAGTCACAGACACTCACTCTCTTACACTTGCTTTTCAATCATGTTAGAAAGGAAGGCAAACCCTCATTATTTTCAGTCTTCTGACATATACCCATATGTCATTAGTGAAAGCTCAGCATAATTTACTGTACACAGATGGTTCTGAGTTTGCCAGGAGTATCAAACACAATGTTATACTGCCACACTTCAGAGAACAGGATCCAGCAGAAAGCAGTGGATTATGATACATCTGGATTTACAAAGCCCTCCCTTCTCCCCTTCATGCTCGACAATTTCTGCAGTATCTTAAGAGTCAAGAACACCAGGGACATGGCAGGAACAGAATGCCTCTGTAAGAGAGGGAAGTGAATGTGTGTGCCTCTGTGTGCATGGAGCGGCAGGAGCATGCAGTAGTTTTGGCAAGAGACTTGACGGCATCCGTTTTCAGAGAAAAATGAGGAAGGTGGTTTTCCTGAACTAGTATGGGTATTTGATTAACAAACATGGAGGTCTGGTGGACTGTAATCATAGCAGTTAGGAAATCAGGCTCTTCAGATGGTTTTTGCCCTGTGGGTATAAGGGGGATTTTGTTCTCTCAAATGCAGAATCTCTTGCAATGCAAAGCCTTTTTTAATTTGTGGGCAACAGATAACTATTCAACAAAGACAAAATATTCACAATAAATGATCACTTCCCAAACCAATATCCCAGAAGCATCCTCAGCAGGATCTTATTTTCCATTACTTTTCATGAGATCAGAAACCCTGCTAATTACTCCTAATTCCGGGGTAACAGAAAGCAGTAGGGTAGTTACACAGTGGAGAAGTTAAGCCAACAACTGTAGTCCACCACAACAAAGGAATAGTAATATATAGCAGTTTTGACTATTAAAATGGCATAGAAAAATCAAAAAGAGGATTCAATATTCATTAGAAAGTTCATCAGTACTTAGATGTTAACTAATATTATGTCTACTGGATGATCCTTCTATGTTTCACAAAATAAAATTAAATCAGTACCTGGAGATACTGTCACGAGAAGCTGCTGAATCTAAACTATCCATTCTTTCAGATGCTTGCAAACCAGAAGCTTGACTGGGATTTTTGTCAATTGAGTCCAGTCCTGACTCCTCAGAAAGTTTCATCATGTGGTTCTGGTAATACAAGTGGATGCTCTCCCGTGTTGGAACATTTCCCTGTGGAAGAGAGCAGAGGCAGATGTACATGGCAGGGAGGAGGTGTATTCTTTGAGGAAGCAGTTTATTCTGTCATTTGGCAAGGACCAGATTAAAGACTGTGCAAACAGATTCCTAGTAAATAATAAACTACCACTAGTAAAACTCAGACTTCTCAGAGTGCAAGTCAGATTCTGACTTTAACTACCATTGCACAAAGTGTTGGGTTTTCAAGCACAACTGGAACATCCCACATGGTTTCAGGCTATATATGGCCATCATAACTCTGTTGGGTGGACTGCAAATCATTCAGCATGAGAGTGAGGTGTGGACTGGGACCATGACTAAATCTGTACTCCAGCAGCTTTTGATGAATCTCTTTTAGATAGCTTCACTGACTCTAAGAACAATCATACATTTCATCAATGGACAGTAGCAGCATTTTTAAACAGAAAAAAGAAACAGGTCATGTACAAACTGATCTAGATTTTCATTAGTGTCTCAAAGTAGGAATTTATTCATAAATTATGGACACAGTTGGAAAACTATGAAAGATACACCAAAGACCTTTATTCTTTACTCTTTCTCTGTAACACCGCAATCAAGAAAGTTCATGAAAGGATGGTTTTATTAACTGTCAGCCCAGATCTGGGCACAGAATCAAGTCCTTCTGGCTATGATATTGCAATCAGAATTCTAAAGGTGTGTCATAAGTGTAAAACTGAGATTTTTATTGCCTGCTCTTGGGCAGAAACACATGCAACTCATTCCACTAGCAGTTGCATTGACTTCAGATGACACATTGAGAGGGGATATTGCTATTCTTGAACAGTAATTTTTCAGACTTATAATGAAGCCTTATGCAAGAAGTTTTTCCATTTAAAATAATAAAAGTAGTCTAAAAGATTACCTGCATTTCCTTTACTAATATTATTAGTTTCTAGCATTTCAACTCTGGTCCTCTAAGCTGTCCCAAAACTACAATATTCAAACCTGGTGTTTTGGGAAAAGAACAATCTTAAGAACAAAATCTGACACAGTTTTTTTATTTGGTTTGTTTTTATACAAGCTGTGTTGCTTCTGTAGTGATAAATGTTTGTGCAATTATGACAGCTTGATTCTGAAATTGTGGCACGCATTCTAGCTCCACTGCAGACCTGGGATGAAGGATAAGAGTTGTGACAGGAAAAGTGCACCACAACTGATGGAGGACTCAATTTCAGGTTCTTCTCTAGGTGGAAGAGACACCAAAGGAACTTCATACATCAGGTTAACTGTCCTCAACTTCGCACCAGACAATGAAACATGTCACCAGGATGGCTGCAGCAAGAGCTTCCTTTCTTGGATAGCAATCACAGTCATGGCGCTGCTGCAGAGACTTGGTGATGCTACAGAGGAATTTGTGATTCTGATGTTCATGGGTACCAATATTTCACAGGAGAGGAGAGAAAGACTCTGGGAAAAAAAGCCTGAAGTTTAAAGCTATTGACTGAGGGGAAATTCTTTGAAGGGCCCTTAGTACCAGAAGATTTAGGATTGAAGCAGGATATACCAGCCTATGCAAGGACACATGGGCTGTATTGTAATCAAAGTAGCATGAGGATGCTGGCAACATGAAATTTAAACAAACAAACAAACAAATAAATAAATTTGTTGGGAACAAAGGATAGGAAAAACTTGATAAAGCTGAGGTGAGAAGTAGCAAAGAGCAATTAAATTAACATCTCAAATAAGTAATGGCCATGGAAAGGCAGTTAGTCTGGCTTCTGCATACATTTGAAAACTCTAAAAATCAGGGGCAGTGAGAAGGAATCTTATTGTGCCACCAGACATTGACAGTGGCTGGGCAATATAAGGCTTTATTGAGGTCAAGACTACTAATGTGTTGTTGATGCTTTTAAACTATTAATCTCTGTGCAGCTTTTAACAAAAACTAGAAGGAACTGAAACAAGGCTTCTATGCCAGGTTTCCAAAAAATATTTGAGTATTAGTGACATATAGAAAAATACCTGTGCTTAAAATGAGAGCTTTAGCCAATGTTGAGGTATCATCCACTTGCATTTGGAAGATCAAAATACATTTCTAGTTACACTAGCAATATTAGTCCTTGATAATAATGGGTTTTATTAATATATAACTAGATTGTGAAGGATCACATAGGTTCATTGTGATTGAAGAAATTTATGCCTGTATGTTGTCAGTCAATTCCAATGCAAGTTGGTCTAGAAAAAGACTGAAATATGCAGACTGGGGTACTTTTTGATCTGTTTAAAATGCTGTGACTTTTCCTCCCTTCTTGAACCTATTGTGTCCCCTCAAAATCACACTATATTACAGAAGTGTTTCAGCCAAAACCTTATATGAACCTCTCAAAAATTATTTTCCAATAATTTGTTTTATGTACAGATAATAAATCAAATAATTTCTGATTTATGTATTTGCAAAATGTCAAGCAGTAAAAGAGTTCAGAACTATTTTTAAAATCCATGTATAAGTGAGATTTTTATAATTTTCCTCCTTACCACAGTAATCTGAAAAGACAACCTTTCATTTTTCAGCAAGCTGGAAATAGCATTAGCAGACAAAAAAGACCAAAGGCGTTACCTTCTTAATCTCCCTGGTCAGCATACAGCGCTCGATTCTTAGCACGGTGGAGATATCAATGTGTTCTCTTGAGATGGAATTAAGCCAAGCTGTAAAACTGTCTAGTGTTGCCAGGAAAAGGACCCAAGTAAACTTCAAGATATTAAATATCCTCTTGATGATGTTATCTAAGGGAGAGCAAAAACAACAGAGTTAATGAACACAAATATCTTTTGTTGTATTTTTGCCTGGAGTTAGATTCATCTTTCCTTTATTGTATAATAATAATAATACAGTCTGTGAGACCCTGTCATACTAAGGAATCTCTGAAGATGGCTGGAGGCCTTTTGGCTGTCTGGACCATTTTCCTGACTGTATGCCTAGGCTTATCATCTGGAATCCCTTTTCCACCCTGTAAGTCCTTGGTCCTGCAATCATTAGTCATATAAACAGTCCCAATTTCAGAAAGACACTGTATTCACAGGTCTGTAAAATAAAACCCAAGGACTCTGGCATCTCCTGAGAGTTATTCAACATTCCCAGCTCCTGCAATCTGAACAACAGCCCAGCCAGAGTCTTGAGCTGAGCCCCTTAACTGTCTATCTACTTGCACGTGCTTCTCTCTGCACAGACTTTGTCTTTTGTGCTTGAACCTTGCTTAACTGAGTTTCAAAGTCTAACCTGCCTAAACAGTCTTTGAATCTCTCCCAGTTTTCCAACCTCCTAAACACACCTTTCTGTAGTTAGAGTTTACAAAGCCTCCATATTTCTACATAGGCTGCATTGCACCATCAGTGATCTCAGATCAACTAGCACAACTAGGACAACTAATAATTTATAAAACTTTATTCTTGCACCATTTTGCCAAAACAGTATACTTTCCCATGAACAAGACTTTTGGGATTTATACCAACAAAAGTAGAATTATTTTTCCTCAGCATAGCTGTCTCAAGTTAATTTCTCATTTCAGTAGTTCATTTAGCATTAGCAACTGCTTTTTTTCACCCAAAAAGCAGCACTTTCAATTTATTTTTCTGTAACTCACAAACATACACACCACACTACAGTTCTCATAGTGTTGCAAGTGTTCAAGGCTAGGTTGGATAAGGTCCTAAGGAACCTGTTCTAGTGGAAGGTGTCCCTGCCCAAGCAAGGAGGTTGGAACTAGATGATCTTTAAGGTACCTTCCAACCCAAGCCATTCTAAGAATCAATGAAATACTAAAAATTCTTTCCAACTGGCCAGTTCCAGAGCTATTTATCCCCACTAGGTTGCAAAGCCCAGAGCACCAGCTATAAAGATGAATTTTAGATTACCCAGTCTGATAAACAGCAGAAAACTGTCAATTATCTGCCATGCAGGGACAAAATGTTTGAAGTAGATACTGGGGAGACAATCCATGTGCTGCAGCTTGATGCTTACAACAACATCACTTCTTAGCTATACCACAAGATGGCATGCAGAACTCTGGAGGACATATTCACTCCTTACAAAGAATGTAAAGGTGAAACTATAATAAAGCAAAAGATTTCCTGTCTGTGGGTGTGCAGGGAGGGTTGTATGCACATATGTATGGAGAGAAACCAGGGAAATAAAATCATTAGTGATACATTCCTGGAAAGTGGATGCTGAAAAGGCAGTTTGCAGCATTTACCTGAGCAATGTCATTGAACTGGTCTGGTATCCCCAAACGTAAGAGCATCTCGCCCCCTTCAACTGGTCATAGAACTATTTTGATAATATTCTGCCCTTTTTTTCCAGGCCTTTTCCGTGTCATTTAGAACAGGAGATATTTTAAGAGTTATAGACCTAAATTTTATTCATTCAACAGGTCTTGAAGTTAAGGAAATCTTGCCATTAGAAATTAAATGTAAAGCTGTTTCGACTTCAAGGACCAATCATTTCCTGTGAATTCCAGATAATACTATGGATAGGTTTAAAGAAAACATAGCACTCATGCACAAAAATATACAATGTACAAATATTCTTTTTTAACCCATACTCTTCCTCTCTAATACATAATTTCTGCTACTGACTGTAGGAGAATCCCAGCTCTCAGGTTAAAATTATCTTTACTGCTGACCATCACTGGTGTTCTTGACTTCTTGAACTTCTAGTCTAATCTGAAAGGTAAATTTTCTCTCTGGGATGGAGGTAATTTAGTAGACATTGTTAATGACACTGTAGCTGTTCCAGCACCTTTGCTGTTCTCCAAACTTTGAAAAAATAGTATTTTGGGGATTGATTGCATCTAAACATCTCCAAAAAGGGAAACAAATATTTAGTTTCTGCAGAGACTATTATTCTAACTTAAAGGGTCAAATGCAGAGAAGGCTTCTCTCTGCTGAAGAGTGTGAGACAGGATTCGATCTAAGGTTAGTAATGACACTAATGTTTCATTACCAATTACTGCCTGATTCTTCTAACCATCTTCTTTAACAAATTTTGCCTATTTCAATAAAAATACAAAGCATCTTAAACTGGTTATTTCTAATATAAATGAATTCTAAATCTCCTTCTTTTTTCCTAACTCCCATGTAACACGAACAGTACATCCCTGGAGATGCATTTGAGTGACTCACCTCAGCATTTTAACACAGATAACTGCATCACCAGTAAGTAACAAATAAAAAAAGCACAAACTCCCAGCAATGCAACTCGTTTATTTGAGATCACTGCCCTTGTTAGACAGAAATTACGTTTCCCACCTTCTTGTAACATCTTCCACCCTGTGACTCACTCAGGGACACAATTCTAATTGGAGCTGTGGGAAACAATTTTAAATAGAGAAGAAAAATAGCTTGTGATGACAAAGTCTCACTCAGGGTAAGCCATGATGAAGATTTGTGTAAAAGAAGAGTCTGTTTTCCTCTTTTACTCCAGTTAGAAACAAAGAACCAAGCTTAGATTTATGATCTATTACACTTCTTTGTAGGAAAGTTTTCAATATGGGCAAGATACTGCAAACTGCTGGCATTTCTTCTGTGGTGCAGAGCAGCCTTGTAAGATAGGAAAATCTCATTTTTTAGAGGTGATTATTGTACCTTGATGAGTGGGTATGTACCAATAAAGGCATACTAACCTTGACAAAACACACTAAAAAATCCACAAGGTCTTTGTGCTAATGATAGTATTTCACACATTCAAGATCAATGGAGATTTTAACACAAGGCTGTATACATTCACATCTAGAATCTAAGCTTAAGTTGTTCTGCAAGTAAAATACACAGCAAGTGATCAAGTCTGAGCTAGCTGATGTATTTACTAAGGTATGTAGTGAATGAGTGCAGGAGCTAATAGTCGAAAACTAGAAGTTCCTGTGCTCAAGGCTTGTAAATCTTGCAGTGGAATATGTGACAGTCTCATTGCAATGGTTGAAGTGGATTTGTGGCTTTGATGCAAACCTGGGATCACTGCAATGCTGTCTCTGTGATATGCCACTTGTCACAACTGTATTGTAACAGTTGAGAAAACCTTGTTCTCCCTTCATACCTGGTCCATCAGATTTTTTCTTGACAGGTTCCTCTTCACTGTCTTCACAGTCTGCATCAGTGCCACCTCCTGAAAACACTGAGCAAAACAGTGAGTGTTACACCTATAGAAGTGTGGTGTAAATGCCATTCCAGCTAAGAAATGCTACAGTTACTAAGCAGTAGTGACTGGTTCCTCACCTACCACTATAATTGACAGCACATTTCCATTTCTACAGGACTTAAGTGAGGGGACAACCCTGTCAGCGTAGGATGTTCATGGATCACCATCCCTCTCTTGTAATTTGCACTTGCATTTTCATACTAAATAGGCTGCTGAGCAAGATGATCTGTTGGTGTAAACCCAGGTAATTTCTCAGTCACTCCAGAGCCACATTCACAGCAGCCTCATCTTCCACTGACTCACGCTTGAGCTCACTTCCTCACCTTCTGCAAACGGCAACCTGCTCAGTGCTCTGATCTTCTCCTGCCTCTGACCCACCAAACCTGCAGGAATTTAGTGGGACCTTCAGGTTGAAATGAAACAGCAGAATGGGTTTGAAAGCACCACATGCTTTCATTTAGGCCTGTACCAGAAGAGTGATGTAGAATCACAGGCAGAAATGAAGAACAGACAAATGACCTTCCTTCTAATACCCAGTAACTGCAGCTACAGCTTCAGTGGCAGCAGCCCAATTATAAAGCTCCTTCTTTTCAACAGGTGAGGATGCCAAATGGAGGAAATGTCCAGCTGATTCAGCCTGTATGGGCCACCCTCTTCCCCATTTATACTGACCAAAAGAGCTTTTGAATTTTTTCTTTAAAAAAGGAGAAAAAGACGAAGAGACATAAACCACTTACAAACTTTTTTTTTTTTAGGGGCATGAATGATTTTACAGTGTCATTAAAACCCTATTAACATCTGTATGTTTTCCTTTTGCTACCTACTGAATTCACGGTGAATTCAGGGGTTCATGGGTATTCAGGTTCCTCAGTGAGTACAACAGGGAAAGTGAAAAATATTTCCTGATATTTTTCTCCATGTATCAACTCAAGCTTCTTTAGGAAACAACATAGGAAACTTGGCCAAAAGAAATAATATGTGGCTATTTCATAGATTTTTTTCTTACTGTTCCAGTTGAACTATAGGTCTTTAGGAACTGCCTCATGAAATATTTCACTAACACCTTTCCCTGGGAATACACATGAACTTACCATCAAAACGAGTGACTTTGATCAACTCTAGAAAAACCTGGACAGAAAGATAAACCTTTTCATGAGGGGAGGAAGTGAAAGGGTAATGTCTTTACTCTGCCTGATTCTGATCAAACACCTGTCATTTATACTCCTATATTCTGGACTAATGCTATTAACTACCAGGTTATTGGCTTTATAAAGTTATGTCTTTAAAGGGTTATGGCTTTCTATTGCAAGTACTCCCACACACATTTTCATATAGCTGATGTTTTCTGCAATGTGTTGAAACTTCGTATTTTCTAAAAGTTCTGGATGTGTGCCTTGCAACTCCACAGAAAACAGATATATCCCTTTTTTCCCCCTTTGTCTCCCTCAGTGTGCACTGTGCAGAACAGAAGGACATGGCTATGGCTGATCTTGTCATGGGGTGGTGCAGGGAAAGACTGCCAGCCACAGGTAAACTCATTTTTCTAGTTCCTAGCCTGAACTGAGAGCACTTGTCCTCTAAAGTTCAGCTGCCTTTCACTACCAGGAACTACAGGCAAGTGTTAAGACTATATTTTTTTAAAATGCAGAAGGCTACCTACCATCCCCAGATCCTTTTCGCCTTCGTTTCTCTTTCCCAAAGCTTTTCTTCTCCTTGCGCCTCTGTCGTAGAGCTGTTTTAGGGTCAGTAATCCAGGCTTGATAAACAAACTGGAAGGAACAAACTCATTTATTTCAAGGTTCTTCATGTTCTGAGAGTAAGCCATAGAAAAAGCCACAAGGAGGACCATATAGTTTGAGTAAATGCATTCAGATCTGCAGGGGTAAGGAAATATTTTTAATCCCAATTCAAACACCACCCCTGCAGATCTGCTGAGTTTTCATGCGCTATTTTTGTGAGCATAAAACCAAATGTGAAAATACTTGTGGGTGAACCAGGTTTCACTAGAACCCCACAAAAATTCATGCTCTGAACTCTGGGACTTAATATGTTGTGCATATGGGCTACTTCATCTTAACCTCTCCATTTAATTCTGTATTTCTACTTCATAATTTTATAGGCAAGATGCAGAGTAATGGAAACTCTGAGAGAAAGTGCTGTAATCAACTAAGTAAAGCATCAAAAGATGTAGAGATATTGCTGTACAGGTATAGGTGTATTTTTCATAGTTTAGATATTCTTTCCCCTCTGTAGATCCCAGTGGAATGATAATAGATTTACCTATGCACAGTCCCCAATGTGGCAGACAGGAATTCCTCAAATTTCATCCCTATTTTGACAACAGCTCCCTTTGTTGCCTCAGATAAGTCACTTATAAATCCTTCTGCTACTATTTTTCCAGTTGTAAAATGAAGACAGTAACACTTACCTATTTATCAATGGGATTTTATGGGACCAAATCCTGCTCACAGCACTCACTTAGATCAACAGTTTATTGATCTGTATGACTGCATGAAGCATGGAATTGGCCCAAAATATTTATAAATACTATAGCAGTGGGGAAAAAAAGTTAAAAGTAAAAAAAAGTTACCAAAAAGTAACATTTTTCATAGTTCTGCTTAAGTCATGAAGGAAGATCACATTAAAAAAAAAGCAGCAACACTCATATCTTTTATCCCTTTATGGCATAAAATGTATGTGAATAACAGAAACTAAAGTAACTGTATCTTCTCTACAACTCTTTAGGACAAAATCTGTACTTTTGTTCATTTTATGGTTTTCACTGAAAAATGGTAATTATCTTCAATTGGCATTGCATTATCTTCTATTTCTAAGCAACACGGACTGTTAACAGAGACAGCACAGGGAAGCACACACATGCAGACATGAGGCTGAAAAAGCACAGTAAAAAACCAGATCTATTAATTCACAAGACAAACATGCAGACAATGACAACAACACACGTGTATCTCAGTGAAGCTGGAACTGCCCCTCATATGGCAGAATTTCTATTTGGTTTATTTATAATTTTTAAATTCTCTTATGCAAATTGCTTTGGAATATTAAGGGTATTTTTTAAAAAATGTCAAACTGATATTAAATGAATTTAAAAGGGAAAATATTTTGTTCTGTGTTATGGATGTACACAGCAATGGAGAGGAAATTATTTCAGTACTGTTGATAGAAGATCCTCTTCCAAATCTCTCAAAGCCTGTACATTTATTTTTGTATGCCTGGGTTGTTCTGAACAAGCACCACATGAGAAAATGTGTGGGATCAGAGGCCCTGGTTTCTCTTTGCTTTGTATTAGGTGTTTTCTAATGAAGGAGATCTAGGGAAATGGAGACACTTAAGCAAACTAATACCATATTACTTACTGAAACTCAGAAACTGTCAACATCTGCTATTGTACAGTTAACTGTGAAAGTGTACACTAGCTACAGTCATAGTGTGAATAAAGAAATTAGAGGTAAAAGGCAGACTTGGAAGGGGTAGAAGGTTAGAACTAAGAAAGTGCATTTGATTTATAAATCGAATGTAACTAATTATGCTAAACAGTGGATATTTTTAAGGGCAGACTGGGTGCATACATATGTATTGGTTTAGATTTTTACAACTTTCAATTCAGTATCTTCTAGTTTTTTGGGCTGGCGAGCTCAATCTGCAATGCCCACTCCTTAAAAATGTCACGTGACATATTTGGAGTGCAAAATGATACACAGTGCTCAAAGGTATGAAATGCTAAATGTATTCAAGGAGGACAAAATAGAAGATACACAAATCTTTCTTATGATGATAAAGGCCAGACAAGTAGAGAGCTCTAAATGGGTTTGGAGTAGAATGTGTGTTTTACAAACCTTCTACCAGCTTTCTGAGATCAATTACCACAGTGTCCATAAGATACATGCAACTTGATGTGACCACCTTGTATATTAGTATCAGAAGAAAATGAGAATCTGGGTCTGCATTTTCTCTCCAGGGTTACACTTTAAAAAAGACAGACCACTTTGCCTGTGGCCTGACCACTCCAAAATTATGAAATGTATAATGTATTGCATTTACTATGAAGCTTTAACTGTCATTATTTTTTAAAATCATTCATATAAGAGGAAAAATGCAGATGAAGACAGATATATATACACATTACATCAGGCACTACGGGATGGGTCACATACTGAGCATTCTCAAAATGTCAAGTACCTTTGCTGCTTTGATTAAATACTGAAGAATAGTTTTGGGTAGTTTAATGATAGACTTTGGCAAGGCTAAAATGGCTGAAGCAAATTTTCCAATAGCTTTCTATAAAGGACAAAGCAAGAGTAATTAGTAGAAAAGAAGAAAATATTAATAAAAAGGATGTATTGAATTACTGTATCTAGATTATTAATAACAAATTTACATTCATAAACTTTGAGATGAAAAAAGCTAATTTATGATGTTCACATTAAAATTTCAGTAAGACAATTCTTAACTGCCTGCATTCTCTAATATATAAAACCTCCAAGCTAACCCTTAATGAGACTATTGCACAGCTTACACTGCAAGAAAAATCATAAATCAAAAATAATTCTTTAACAGAATCTACAACAAAGTTCACTTTGCTAGTATTTTTATTAAGACCATGTGCATGGTGTTGGAAGGTGAATAAGGTATGATGACTAAATGATGAACAAGCTTTTCATGAACAAAAGCAATTTTCTCTTCTATACAAGTCCCTGGCTCTATAAAGCTATCCAACATCTTCATGTTGCACATATTGCAGAATAGGCCACCTACACAGAACATCTGACCAGAATTTTGAAATAAAGTACAATGCTCCATCCTCAAATTAATAGTTTTGGGATTAAGATGAACAAAACCCCAAACCTCAGAGTAAATGAAAGAATCTTGTTTGATTCTGACCTCCAGTTTAGAACTCTAAAATCACAGTGCTTGGCACCAGCACATCTGAGCAAAATATTGTCACCAGATTTTTAACAAATCAGCAGAAACAAGAATGCAAACTTTCCTCTATATCTGCATGAAAACCAGAAAAAAAAGTGACCTAGAAATTCATGAGTCATTTCTGTGGTCCAAGGTAAGTTAAATACAAAACATATTTTAAAAATAGCACAAGTAGTAGAAAATAAAATTTACTTATATTATTTTGATCCAGATTTGTTTTGCCTTTATTAAGGTCAGGAATTTTTTTTTTCATGTGTTTATCATGCTGGCAGTTTAACAAATGTAATCAGCTGGTAATGTAATGTAAGCATATAAACCTAAGGCACATTGTATATTAATGAATTAAATAAAACATTTCTTCCCGTAATTCATTAATGTTGTCTGGGAAGTTTTGCTTGAAAGCTTTTGGCTTAAGGCACAGAAGAGCAAAGAGGCAGTTTCTTGCTCTTGCTTGGGTTGAACTTTCAGCAACACACCAGTTCTGCAATGACACGAGTTTGCATCTGCATGGGAACACTCATCTGCAAAAAGCTACCTGTTTGCTTAAGCTTTTACAGTTACAGACCCCAAAAAGTTCTGCAGTATTTCTGAAAAATCTTCCACAAGTAAAACTTGCATCTTATAAAGACAAAAGCTATCCTGCATGCATGGGTATTTCACTAACTTCTTCACTCAAGTTCTTCATTTAAACCAGTGGATTCAGTATCTGGTACTGTCTAACATCAATCAATCTATATGGAGGAACCCAGATAGGAAACTTCAGGTATCATGACATTACAATACTCTTTTTTCATCAACAGAGCCTGTCAGTTAAAATGCAAATATATTAATTAACACTGTCCTCACAAAGAAAGGAAAGTGATATGGTCTCCTTTTGTAATTTTAAATGTAAAGCTCTTTCTAACTCAAGGATATATTTCTCTGGCCCGCTAGGAAAAATAATTTTTTTTTCTATTATGCATTCTTTTCCATGAAAAGTTGCTTATTTTTGGGCTAATTGCTTCACGAAATGATAACATCTACTCAAAACCAGAAAATCACTGAGACATTGAGCAGGAGTGCCACAGGCAAGTCAGCCGCCTCAAATGTCTTTATAGCAATGCAGAAAAAATAAAGCTCAGATTCTTAATCTTTGGGTTTTTTGCATTTTTGTTATTTTCAGGCATAAGTGAATGACAATATCACTCCACTATAGTTTCTGTAGGAATTTGGCAAAGCTTAAATCAGACAAACTTGTATTCCAAATTGGCAAGAAATTTCATTTCCAATACTTTTCAGGACTACTTTAGAGGTACTGGCAGTTTTAACATATGTGCCTCTACTATGAGAAACCTACGTTTTTTGCCAGATGTCAACTAGAAAGCAAATTACCATAAAGTACCTGAAATGCAGATTTTTTTCGAGGCTCTTCCTCTTCTTTTTTCTCTTCCTCCTCTTCTTCTTCACTATCCGTCTCAAACAAATAATAATTTCCACTTCTGACCACTAAGTGAAACAAAATATTTTCTTATTTTTCTGCAAAGTTCTATTCTCAACTCCCCCAAGACCTATGAACAGGCAGCCAGTCATTTAAAAATTCACAACCAGGAGAGGTGAAAACAGAGAAGCAAGAGATGAAAAGGTCTCAGGCCATTTATTTGATGTTAGTCTGCAATACTTTGGGCATGAATAAGAGCTATACAAGAACTAAGGAAAATATCACCACAAGAAGGAAAGTGTAACAAGTTACAAGGTTAAATATTTTAGAAAAAAAGTGGCAATTAAGTCTAATTTAATTGGGGATTTATAGTAATTTGAGGGAGTAAAAAAAGCCCAGCAGGTAGGTAAATGAATCTACATGAACTGGACAAAAAAGACAGAACTTCTCTTTAAAACACTGAGGCATCCTTTAAACTATGTAATGGGACAGTATTCATCAATACTTTCTTAAAACATTTAAGTTTTGATGAGGTAATGGAAAACCTTGGCTTGTTTAAAACAAATCACTTGGATTCTATTAATGTGATTGAAAATGAGTTTCAATTTTTTGCCCATGGATTCAGAAAGATTCTGAAACCTTAATACAGTATAGATGCACAGTGAATAAGCTAGGCCTTATATCCTTGAACAGAAGCAATGGCTGTATTTCTCAGAGGGCAACAGGCCTACATGAATGAACAAGGGAAACAAAAGAAATGAAAAATAAGGTAATGAGCAAGAGAAAAATAAAAACCACAGCATTACATTCAGCAGTGAAAACTGGTAAATAATTTCCACACTTAAGCTGAAATATTTAAAGGAACAGTTACTTAGATGAAACATCACACAATCTGGATACATGGAGCAATACATATTTATATAAAATTATATTTAACCCTCATTACTGGTCTCTGGAAAAGTAACAATTGCTTTAATTCAATCATACCTTGAATTCTACACAGATCCTTTGTGCATAGATGACCACACATAATTACCGTAGAAACCTCAAGGTAAGCACACTGTGAAATTTGCCAGAACTCTTTGGATCTTAACTTTGGCATCTAAAACTCCCTCAAAGAGGAAATTATGTGCCTCATGTACCTAGTTATGACTTCTAACATCAACAAATGCCCTACAGAGGGACAAGAATTCCACTTCAGCAGTTCTAATTGCTGCACTGAGGTGAAAACAAAAGTTTGGACATTTCCTGGGTAAAGCAAATTATTTGGTACTAGGTCTCCCAAGAATGCCCATTTAAAATTCATTGAAGAAAGGAATACATTTTAAGAGCCAATAGTCTGCAGTTCTCTTCATGAAAAGGTTTCTTCTAGTCAGCAACAGAAATTGTCCACACAGAAGATCAGCTGGATAAGGTCTGACACCTAGGGATGCAGTGCAGTTCCTTAAAGGCTCAGAGCAGCACCCAGTCAGAACTGGAATGCCTGAGCGGGCATCAATCTACATTGATCTGACTCCAAACTTTTTAGGGTAAAGTGTATCTGAGGGGACACTATGATGTAACAGCTACATCTATTCCAAAAGTAAGAGGGAGGTATGATTGAATAGCAATAATGCATTCTTGCACACATCAAAATGGACTAAGTGGAGGGGTAGTAACCTACAGGATCAAGAGAACAAATTTTGCTAGTAAGACAATTCATGGCCAGACTGGACTTGGGAGACCCCTCTCTTACTGCAAAATGTGACTTTCTCCTACTGTGAAAAGGGACTTACAGGCTTTTATTGTGGGATGAAACGGAGGAGACAGAAGAGGAGCCATGCAAGATAAAACATAATCTTATCTGCTTATGCCCATCCCCAGGACAGCTGTGATCACCATCAGATGCAATTCTGTGGCCCAGGAGAATCTAAGGACCTCAAAGCACATGGTCCTAACTCCTGCTGATCTTTGTGGGGCTCCATAAATAATCCACAAGCACAGGAGGAAGCATACCTCCCAGCAAGGGAGATTGTGAATGAATGTCAACAAGGAAACCCTCACTGATGTACCTTATCTGTTCTGTTTAGATGTAAATTCATGACTGTTTTAATGGCCATGATATACAAAATGAGCTTTCCTTCTGCACAATAGAATTGCAACGTGATATAAAAATAACAATAAAAATCTCAATTAAACCTCAAAATTGGCATAAAACTTCAAGCTTGAGTGACTTTAATATATACATATATACAGCCACAGCCATAAACCCATTTTCTGAGATGAACAGTCATGTGCAGCAGAATGCTGCAGTTACATCAATGTTTCCAAAAGGATGAATGGGGATATCAGTCTATTTCCAGATCATATGCCTGTGAACACCTACTGTCAGTGCCATGTTCCAGTGAGTGTGGGTGCAAGCCACATGGCAGGCAAACACTGTTTGTAGGATCAGGGTTTGTGATGTTTCCCACAAGGTTTTGCATTATTGCAGTAAATAATTTCAAGAGTGCTCACTATTCAAACACCAAAATGCAAGTTGCCACCTAAGAACATTAAATAATGAGGGTGAAATAAGTAAAAGCCAAAGTCAGTGTCTCTCTTTGTGCAGTTCTTCTTACTACAAAACCAGTGGTGAATAAACAAGAGACCATATCCCATTCCTTTAAAATCACTGTAGCTTGAAATTCTACAGTAAGAACTCACAAATCATAGTTTTATTTGTTTTGTCACTATTGTTCTTAATAAAACTGCAGGGCAAGAAGTTGGTTTTCATAAGACCTTTGAAAAGGGATAGGTCTCTCTAAAGTGGCAGTGTGCCCTTTAGAAAAACAAAAATAGAGGCACAGTTTACTTGTGACTTGATAGAAATAAACACAGTATGTTCTGTTAAACACTGCTGGCAAATATGTACCTGCTGGAGTTATAAATAAATACATATAAGTAAACAAAGGAGTCTGTAAATGTGTAAAATTATGACTTGGAGTAACTCAGACTAAATGACCAGGCACAATACAGACATCATATTTACCTCTGATCAGTGCTAACTATTTAAGTTGGGTTTTTTTTAAATCTTCAGAGGTTATTAAAATAGCTCATGTCCGATTTCATTCAACAAAGATCCAATCAAAGGATACCTGATTTGAGATTGCAGCCTACTAGGTTTTCTTGTTTTACCTAATCCATAATGTAGGGAAGAACTCTATCTTATGCCTGGACTGGGCTATAAACAAATTAAAATATCATAATACAACAATTACATGAGTGACACAGGATAATAATTCTTGTGCACAAGGCTGGACATAATTTTATTCTCAGATAAACACACACAAGAAAAGTGGAAACAGCAAAAGAACTGTCATCAACAATACATATAAGTGTGATCAGAGATATTCAGGGGGGCTCTACACAGCCTAGTCCTGGGAATAGTCTTGCTGCCTTACTGTGGTACTCAGATTTCTACAGTTGAGACTAGAATGACTGATGAACCATAAGAAAAGATGTATGATATACGCACATGAAAAAGAAATTACGACTAATCTAAGAATGCATTGGCAAACTTTCACATTCACATGTTTAAATATATTGTGCTCTGCAGTAAGGGGGAATTGACACTTTTGAGGTCAAAATAGATTCTTTTTGGCACATGCTTATCTGATTTGATATTTTTCTAAGAATGCCCAAAGTATCGTGAGCTAGTTATGCTTCCAACACAGAGAAGTTCAAAATATGCCTAAACTCCTTTAAGATTTGGAAGTAGAAATCATTTGTTGAAAAAAACCCAAGCCTTCTATCAAGTCACAATCACAAAATCAGGCATAAAACAAACAGGACATGGGAATGCCTTCATTCTGGTCAAGGATATAAGGGTTAAATCCACATATTTGTAAGATGATTGAGAAAACCTACTGGAAGCATGATCAACCCAAGGCCGCCACCACAGCTTTTTTTTGCCCTTGGCTTTCTCTTTGTCTGCTTCTCCTAAAATAAAATATGTCCAAACATTAATTTTACAAAATGAGAAACATGTTTCTTACACTGATTAATAATTTTTAATTTCTCTCAAAAGAGCTAAAATTTTATGAGCACATCAGATGTCAGATCTACCAAGTACATTCTATATTAAAATAATTCAAAAGCATGACCACTAAGCAGAAATATTCTGGTTTATGAAGCAGTTAAAACAACATTCCCTTCTCTCAAATCCCTCTACATTTCAGGCTGCAAACATCTTAAACCCAGTAAGTGCTGATTCCAGCTCAGTGCTGGAAATGTGGCATAGATAGGTAAAATTTTATTCATTCCTATGTTTTAAATAACATCTAAAAGTATACAAACATCTCACTGACTGAAAAAAAACCCCTCACAGCATCCAGAAAACATTGCTCAAGAAATGTGAATGCTATCTATTTGTAACACTGTGGTTTATAGTTAATGACTTTGATCAAAACAAACCTCTGCTGCTATTCAGCTCTGCCCACAGCCTGAAGTTACCCAAGAGTAACCTCAAAGCAAACCATTTTCTCTGTAACTTCTTGCAGTACATAATCACAGACGTTTTTGGCTGAAATCAAACCTGAAACTGATACTCAGCTTGTACATTGTTACATGCTGACAGTCTTGAAGACCAATTTATCACTTGTCCAACTAGTAGGTCTGTTAGATCCTTAGCACTCAACTGCAATTATGGTACAACAGGAACTAATGGTACCTTCATCATCTTCTTCAGAAACCTTCCGAATCTCTGGCCCCTCTGAGGACTCCTGGTTCATGCTCAGCATCCTCTCTTTACCCTTCTTGTATTTTTGCTGCCTGGCTTTGATGCGATCCATTCTAGCAAAAGGAAGAACCTTATTAGATTCGTGCCTTCACCCTATTTGACCCACCCTTAAACACATATGTACACATGGACACACTACAACACTTTCAAAGAAAATATTCCACATTCTCATTAATGCTGCCCTTAAACTAAGGAGCTACATGGGTCAGAAGGGGCTGGCTGGAAGGATCAAGCCTAATGTCCACTGACTGGACAGTGAGAGCTGGATTGTCTGCTACCATGACAACTTTTACCTACACCCACTCAACTACCTTATCAGCATTTGAAAATGAACGAACTGCTGTCAGGAATTACAACACAGAAAATGAAGCTCTGAGGAAAAAGGACTTCTGCCTAATGCAGTGTTCTTCCTGAAGCTTGCCACTCTGAACCAGGGATGTGGCTGTTCCTGCACTATTTGTGCTACATCTTCAACTTTTAAGTTCCTTTGTCCTGATGGACAAGTGGTGTCCCCAGTGCTATTTTTAATGACATGGACAGTGTACCCTCAGCAAACTCGCAGATGACACCAACTTGTGCGGTGTGGTTGACATGCTCTGAGGGATGAAATGTCATCTAAAGGGACCTGGACAACCTCAAGAAGCTGGTGTGTGGGAACCTCATGAAGTTTAAGACCAAGTGGCAGGTGCTGCAGCCAGGTCAAGACAACCTCCAGTATCAATACAAGTTGGGGGATGAACGGACCAAGAGAAACCCTGCTGAGAAGGCCTTGAGAGTGCTGGTGGATGAGAGACTGGACATGAAGAGGCAATGTGTTCTTGTAGCCCAGAAAGCAAATCATATCCTGGGCTGCATCAAAAGCCACTTGGCCAGCAGATCAAGGGAGGTGATTCTGCCCTTCTACTCCACTCTTGTGAGACCCCACCTGGAGTACTGCATCCAGCACTTGTTGGAGTGATTCCAGAGGAGGGCCAGAAAGGTGATTAGAGGAATAGTGCACCTCTTCTATAAGGGAAGGCTGAGAGAATTTAGGCTGTTCAGCCAGGAGAAGAGAAGGCTCTGGGGAGACCTTGTTGTGGTTTTCAAGGGGGCTTATAATAAAAATGGGGTCAAACTTTTTTGCAGGGTCTGTTAGAACCGGACAAAGGGTAATGGTTTTAAACTGAAGGGAGGTCAATTTGGACTGGCTACAAGGAAGAAGCTTTTTACAATGAGGGTGGTGAAACTCTGGAATAGGTTTCCCAGAGAGGTGGTAGATACTCCATCCCTGGCCACATTCTAGGTCAGGTTGGACAGGGCTCTGAGCAATTTGATTGCATTGAAGATGTACCTGCTCAGTGCAGGGGGGTTGAACTAGATGACCTTTAAGAGGTCCCTTCCAACTCAAACTATTTGATGACTCTGTGGTGCTATACAGGTAGGGAACATGGGCCCTGCAGTCTTCTGATGCTTCCTCACTTACGCAGGTGTGGAAAAAGCTGTCAGGAGTGGGCTTTGATGCTTGGTTAGGAAGCAGTTAGGGCTTTTCATGCATGGTGGTAGTGGAGCTTTGAAAGGTTTTGCAGTTACAAAAGAAGCATGCTGGCTACATGCAGGAGAAATCAAAGTGACTTATTGGCTGTATAAAGACATATGATCTCTAGGCCACTTAAACTGAATGCAAATATTTTCAGTGAAGGTAAACATACATTTTTCACTCAAACACTAGAGGAAGAATCACAAACAAAACAGAGGGAGCAGTCATGCAACAAATTTTACCAGAAATACAGATATACACAACAAAATCCTAACAATGGTAAAGCGTTTCTAGAAAAGAATGTGCTTGATAAATACCAGCAATCAGTTAAATATGTACATATGTATGCATATATATATAAAAGCATTAAATACATACTGTCTCTTCAGCTGATCCATGGATTTTTTTTCCTCTTCAATTCTTGCCTTTACAGCCTTGACAATTGTAGCCTGAAAAAGCTCAGCACCCCTACATCATAAATGGAGCAGAAGAAAAGAAAAAAGGAGAGGAAATGATAAATGTTGCTAAGTTTCCCTTATGTCAGCTACTCACAGAGAACTCTATGTTCCCTCTGCACATGACCTCATCTGCATCAAACAAAACTAATCCAGGACCTGAAAGAAATAATCAATTACTCTAAAATACTCGTATCTTTATAGTAAATAATTTCAAGATCTGAGGCCAAACACTGTGAATCCTACTCAGCCTGTCAGTTCCTCTAGCAAATACTCAAGGAATTCAGTTTCCAGTCCTCAAGAACACAGAACACAAGTAGGTTCAAGGTGGAGGCAGAATTTCTTGCACACCTGCAGGATTTCTTTATAGTCATGTCAGCGTTATAATCACCTCAAATCCCCTGCCTCAGTCCCCCTGGAAGTTGTGAGCAATGTCCAGCTTTATCCAGGGCTATGATGAGCATAGCTTCAGCTTCACTTGTACCCTGTGAAGACTACAGTGCTTTCCATCTGACAACACAAACCCTTGAGCAAGTTTTTGGTGTGCCAACAGAAAATGATTTCCCACTCCATTACATTAGAAATGTAATCAACTCAATGATTTGGATGTCCAGATCACATGTCTTGGGCATTCTTCCTAATTAACTCATGAGCTCCTGAAGACTCTCACAGAGTCTCAAAGTCTCTCTCAAAGAAATACTATAAAGTCTTTCTTTGTAAGGAATTCAGGAGGAACAGCCATAGTTTCAGAACTCTACTTCTAATTAATTTTTTAAACACGTTTTCTGTGAGATTAATGATTCTTCCACATAATACGCAGGATAACTGAAACTATGTTTTTTCAAAGGAATACAATGAAGACAGGCAATCCTTATTGTCCCAAAGTATGGAAAAGTAAAATAAAGAACATGTTTTCCTTAGCAATGAGATTACCCCTAAATCCATATGGACTATAAAAAACTGTCAGTGAATCCTCATTGCTATTGTCTGAACCACAATTTAATCTTATTTAGGTGAGAAATCTGTGCTTCACAGTATTAGCTTTCATTAGACAACTGGCTCAGACTATGCTCTCTGAATCCAAACCTACCTTCTCCATTGTCCATGCAAATTCAAAGTTTGGACTTTAGCAAGGCAAGCAGCTAACTAAAGAAATTAATTCTATAACTTTATTTATAATACCTTACTTCCTGCAAAATTTTGGCACTTACTGGTCATTAACATACTTATTTTTACAAAGCTCCTGACATAGGCCAGTATGTCTTCACTTCGGCTGCTGGAGAACTCAAGCCTGGATATGTTCAGTAACTCACTAAAAGAAACAAAGCTGGAAGCAGGAACCAAACACGTTTCTTTCAAACCAGCCCAGTGCTATTTTCATGAACCCGTTCTTTCATTCTGGATGGAAATTTTCCTGTTTAGGAGGCATTTTGATACTCACGATTTTGCTTTATGCTATTTTGACTGTGAATACAGCGTACCAAAGAAGCTTCAGAAAAGCCATATCCTGCAAAACTGGGCATCAGCACCAAAATTCATCCCAGAACAAAAGTCTGAGAGGTGTAATATGGGATGGAGGTATAGATCTTTTTGTAGTCCTCAGTAGTGAATTTTGTTCAGTATAGGCAACTAAACATGTCCCCTTTTTAAAGGTGGAAGTTAAAAACTGCTTTCTATCAGAACATGCAAGCCAAATATTGCCCTGAAACACAGCCAAAAATCAATGTCCATATGTTTTCTGGGGGAAAAGAAAGCCACAATACATTTAATCCAATATTAACAAAAGAAATTTCTTAGAAATCTTATGGAAATTAAAACCAGCATTTCATTCCTGATCTGTCTTATTATAAACCTGAAGAATGTTTGTGCTAGTGATGGCTATGAGTAGATGCTTGCGATGTAACAGGCCCAATGAGGGTCATACTTGGCACACCTAGTCAGGGTCCAGTGATTTGACACCTCCCAAGTGTGTTCCCATTTCGTCCCAAGCCAGATGTTAGAACTTTCCTGTTTTCTTCCTCATGTAACATTACTTGAGATGGAACTTCTATTTACAATTGTCTCACACAGGCTCTGATAGCAGAGTATTTTCTTTCCAAGTTGTAGAAACTCTGACATTTGCTCTCATGCACCAATATGTTGAGAGAATGCTGCAATACACATCAACTTTCACAGCTTTTAACAGGAGCAGCAGATGGTATTTTGTAGAAATGATGGTTTAATTTCTATTAGATTCTCAATCTGTTTTCTTGTGCATGCTTTGTCAAAGGTGGGTTTCCAACTATGAATTTAGCATGGATTGCTTAAATCGATGTTAAAGGACTCTTGGCACTACCTATCATGAACAAATAAGTACTGTCACCATGAGAGATTTGAGCTGTTTAATTTCTGTTTAAATTTTTTATTACCTTGATGCTAGGATCTGAGAAGCTTTTATATCTGCAACCACATGCAGGAAGTAGTAACTCATGAAGACTCTTCTTTGCAGCAGCAGGAAGGCAAAACATATACTGTCCCAAATGATTCCTGCTTCTCCACTGGGCAGTTTACAATCTACATTGCTAGTTGCTGGAAAAAGACACCATCAGCATAAGGACTGTTGTGTTAAGTATTCTTTTATAATGTTTAATCAATTAAATAATCATAGCCTTTAACATTATTTTCACTATATTTTTCTTCAGAAAATCGACATGCATTTTCACTTTAAGTACACCATATTTTCTTTTACAACAAACTGGAAAGCTTCCAACAATGTGATGCCCCATTAAAACTGAGAATTCACCAGAGGTGAACCATTTGCAAACAAATCCATTCTACCACAATAAACACTTGAAAACAAAGAATGAAAAAGCCCGTATCTTTTCTTACACTGAATTATTTGATTTTGGTGTTTTCTAAAATGGCATGTTTTAATTTTTTTTTCATTTCAAAGTGACCTTTTGTTCACTTACCAATTAAGAACACTATCGACATGACAAAGAAGTGATTTATTTTTGTCAAAATAATTTTTTGACTGCCACCACCTAATATTTTTATTTTTCCTCTCCACAACTCAGTTCAATGTTTCTTTCCATTGTGTAAGAGAAGAAATATTTGAAACCACAAAACTGCTTCCTTTGGGGTAGAGGGAGACAGGCAGAGAGGAAATCCCATTTCTCCTACCTCTAGATTTTGGCTTGGGCTGCTTCTTTCTTTCCTTCTTTATCCTCTGAAAGACAGTTCTCTTGGGGATATTAAAAAATTAAAACTGGGTTTTGTGGAGCTAGACTGACTATAAACTACATGGCCTATCCTACCCTATAGAAGGCAATAGAAGGACTCAAGGGACAGGCTCTGGCTCATAGCTAGCTTTACAGGCAAGCAAGCCAATCTAATAGCTCTGGAAGGTCAAGCTCCAAGAACTTCAAAGCCTACTGTGCCCAACCCCTGGAGGGTCAGAACCTGTGTCTAAGTTTCTGTTGTTGCTCAAAAAGTTTTGGATAATACAAGGCACCATTTATCTTGTGAATTTGCAACTTCATATTTACTTTCTTTTCCCCCACTCCACATTTATCTAGCAGGATTACATGAAGACAGTAATTCAGAACTTTGCTGAAGACTACTAGGATGAAACAGTCCTTTAAATTCACAAAAAAATAAACCCCACTTAAAAAAAAATCAGATGTTTTCAAACCACAAAGCCAGAGTGTTATTAATAGATCACGGAGAGGTGAAGGGTTTTGCTCTTCATATGTCATTCCTCCCATCTCTCCATCCACACAACTATCCACTCCCTTCCAGTAATCAACACAAACATGAGAATAATCATAAGAAAAAAGATTGCCTAAACTCACTATGTATGCAAGTGAATTATCATTTTCATGCCATTTCAGTGAGCTGAACTTATTTTATCCTTTGAGCAAGTGAACCCTGGTACACAGGGGGGAGTGGGAGTCCACACTCCACACAGGGAGTGCAGCTGGGAAAAGGTGTCCTCTCCTTGCAGGGATGGTGAGCTGACATTTTAGCTCAAGTTGCACAGTGAAACCATACACTCAAGCATCACATCACCTGCATATAGGGGGAAAATTTTAAGCACCACTATCACCAAACTGTTCATTTGCAGCAAACACTGGCTGTGGGTATATGTATGGGGATGTTGATAGTTTTCTCAGTATATGTGTCTCCCTTGGTTCTATGAAATATTTTTAATATTCTGTGTTGCTAATCAATATAGGGCCAAGCAGTATTAAGTGAACTTGCAGATATGATTTTTTCACAAGGTAATATGTCAAGGGAGGGCACGACTTAAATATGATAGAAGATTTTAAAGGTGGTTCTTTACTTACAGAAAATAGTTAAGAAAAATAAGCTATACTTACGAATATGGTAGCCTTTAACCGTACAAGCCAGGCTAAATGCCTGAATCACCCAGCAACTATTCTTAATTAAAGATTCAATGTAGCCACATGCTCCTATCTGGAAAGTAAAAGAATAGTTTCATATAACAAGACATAGCAGGGATAAAGACAAGAAAAGTTGCATCTCTTCACATTACATGAGAAACATTACAGTCAAGGGCAGTCAAGATTATTCTCATGGCTAAAACAGAGCTAAGAAGAGTGGTTTTACCAGTGACACACAACTTTTAGACAGAATTTTTTTTTTGATTATCAGTGAGATTGGAGTTATGTGGGGTTTGTGTTTTTGAAGGGAAAGTGACACATCTGGCATGTGATGCAATGTGACAGCTAAGCAATTTTTGTACATCACTGACAATCTTGCAAACATACATGGACAAGCTTAAGACACGTGTAGCTACACTGAATTCCCAAGCATCAAATGAAGCACATATGTAAGCATTTAGAACATTTGCAAATTCAAACCACCCATAAATCAATTTTATTTCAGTACAGTGACTTATATAAATGTAAAAACAAAATGCCTTCACTTTTCAGTCCAACACTAAAATGTTCAAAGCTAAAAAGCAATTGCCAGGAATAAATCTAAATTTATCTTTCAAAAAGATTTGTATTACTGGCTTCTCTCAATTATCTATCAGTGCCACTACAAGAATACACACTAAAGAGTAAATTAATGTATGAAAACCTTTAATAGTTTGCCGAAGAATTTGACATTTAATTATCAAATATATCTGTTTTCACCTGAATTTCACACTGGTTCCAAAGGAAACAGGAATGCAGTTTGTAGGCTTGTTGTCAACTTCACTAATTACGTTACATCACATGAGAACTGCATCTCATATTAGGTTTGAAAATTCTTATTTAAATAAAATGTCTAATTAAATGTGCACTGTTTATCAATGGTATGACTAATCTTGCACTTTGTACTTATTTTTCACTCCAGTGAGATTTTCACAAGACTTCTAAGGAGAGACCTTATTAGGCAAAGAAAGCAGAACCTGGCCCTTTGAAAACAGCTTGTGAGCTTTCACAGAACCCAACTGAATACATGGGTGCACATTTTCCTATGATGTATATGCATTACCGTTCCCTAGTAATTCTGAGTTAAAATGGAGACTGCTTTCTGCTTGCAGAAGGTCAGGGTTCTGAAAAGGGATTTGTAGTGATCACTCGATGCATTGTGCACATTTCCAGTGAAATTGAGGGCAGAGGAAAGGCAAGAGCTACGTACCGACAGGATGTTCTTCATTGTGATCACAAAGACATTGTAGGCAATCAACCAGTCCCAGTAACGCAGAATGCTCCTGATAGGCTTCAGCAAAAGATCTCCACCAAACAGAAGGAAATAAAAGCAGGCCACCAAGTAGCCCATACAGAATATGCTGATCCTTGTGGTTCCCGTTATGAAGATTATGGTAAGCACAAACCAGAAGAGGTAACTAAATATTATCACCTTATACATGTCTAAGTAGGACCTGTAAGTAAAAGAAGGAGCAGAAGTTACTATTTTATAATGAGGACAATGCTGCATTTTGTCTTTCTGCACTACTGGCTGACACTTGTGCCTAAGGCCTTCTGAGAGCTCTTGTCCCCCTTCAGCATTTGCACACCTGCTCATGGCTAAACTCATGGGTTTAGCTCATGCATGGGTCTACCTGGCTCACATATTCCATTCTAGCTCATTCATGTAGATAAACACCTTGCTACACCTGGTCAGGACACCACACATCATGGAGATTCAAGCCTTGTATCATGAAAGGGGGGAAAACATGTTCTCACCAAACTTCATGACAGAGTGATATTATCTAGCAATGCTATATATGCCATTTAAAAGCCATCTGAGATTATCTTTTCAGAAATCTGAGAAATATTATAGCAAATCTATTTTAAAAAGCCAGCGATCCTGGTGATGCAAACAATTCTGTATGTATTGATGACTTCTAGGAAATTCAGTCTAGTTAAAAGCCTAGTTTTCAAAGACAGCTGCTAAAAATATCTCTCTCTAATGGAGAGCAACTGTAAAAGTTTAGAGGGCTAAAAGGTTTCTACAGAACGGAAATGTGATAGAATTTACTGAAATGTTTGCCAGGAAGCTATGAGACAGAGCTATCTGAAATCAGCCTGGCCCACAGTGGGAACGAGTGAGAAACAATTTGGTATTTTCAGATTCCTTAAAATCTTGACTTAATATTGACTCAGTAAGCTTTCAAATAAGAATAACTGCCAAAGGCAATACCAAATATTACATACAGCTAAACATTGCAAAAGGAACTAATTCTTAGTTTCCCCCCATTTATAGTGTTTTCATTCCAGATGTAACTGTGTTTTCAGAGTCTGTTCACCCAGGCTGTGAAACTAGATTTGTCAGGAAACCAGGCAGGGAAAAAGCACTACAGAAGTACACATATACCTAAGCCAAACCATGCAAGGAGTAAATGAACTAAATGCAAATAAAAAGGCCCCTGCTGCTTGGTGTTCTCAGGCTTAGAACTTTCTAGGAGTATGTATTTATAGTCCTACATTTATAGGCCTGTATTACACATCTTACCAGAGAGGCATTTAAGGAAAGGTAACAAGAAAGCTCCTTTATGTTTATTTCCCACAAGTATTTAAGAAATTTGTGATCTACCACCTGTGAAATCTAAAAATGTCATGACTTTGGAGATGCTACTGAGTTCTGGGTAACAAAACAGTAACAAAGAATCAACATGCATTGGGAAAATAAAAATATGGAAGGCACCAGTTGAAGAGGTCTTCACTAACTTATTATGCATTTGAAATGGTGTTCTCACTGTTTCTCCAGAAATATTATGTTTCTTCAACCATAATATTTGATATTCCTTTAATAATAACTATTGATATGTGGGATGGCTAGGAAGAGATCACCTTCCTGACACTACTCTAATAACTGCAATATTTCAAAAATCTTGTTCTCTTCTGCCAACAAAATGCATCAGCATCTTTTGAGAAAAGCCCAAAATGGAACTGAATTGATCAAACAGCAATATCTTAATACCCTTCAATAAAAATGGACTCTGACTCTTAAAGGCAACTGGAACTGGCTGGTTCTAAACTTTTCACCATACACACATGGCATATGGTTGAGTCACAGTCAACAGCAGCTATCACTGTCAGATTAAAACTTCAGAAATTACAGAGGATATGAAAAGGAAGAAAATAATCTAGCTAGTTCTTCACTATCGTCTTAACCATCTGGTATATTTTAGCAGTCTTCTAAAATACTAAATACCTCTGTTCTTATATTCAAAATATACATTAAATATAATAGCATTGGACATGTCTAAACCAACCAACCAACAAACTGGAGGTAAAGAAGAACTGAAAAGGCAGGAGGCAATACAACTGAGTCAAGTGATAATTTATGTAGTTCTTAAAGATGAAAATCATTCTGATTTTTGTAACTATGCAGTTAAAAACAAGTCCAACGACAAAACTGGCTCCCAAAAATTCATCTTGGTGTGGACATCTTACAAAATGGTGTTTGACCAAGTCACTCAAGGCATATCTAACCAATGGAGATCACCAACCATTCCAGATACTGGCCCAAGAGAAATACCACAGTGGAGAGAACTGCACTCAAGTGGTTTCAGGTAAATAGAAATATTCCTGAAATCACACTTCTTTCAGTGGCAATATGAAAAACCTCCTCGTCCATTGCAGCGTAGCATCATACATCCCCCTAATTTCCATTAATTGTTTATATTGATATGCAGAGGTCTGCTGCTGTATGAGCAGTAATGAAGGCACGTCTTGGTGGGGGAGTTCTCAACATATTGCCTCTCAAATCACTTGATACATTGTCATATGCAAATCTTTGAATCCTGCCTCAAAGCCCAGAAAGCTAGGAAGTGAGGAGTTTCAGTTCCTTGCCATAGAGACTATAATGCAACAGTGGGAGGCTGAAGGGCAAAGCCACCCCAACAGTTAAAAGACGCTACATAAACCCATCAGGACAGTAAGGGTGCTTACCTTCTCTTTGAAAACTTCCACAAAGCAGAAGTTACTTAGTCTTGGATAGCATATACCATTATTTTATGCTTTAACTGCAGACCACAGAGATCATTAGTTTAATGTCATGTAAATCTTCCAAACCTCACCTTCTAAGTGGTCTTTAAAACTCCATTCGGCCACTGAGATGAACGGCCACCCTCAGGATGTGGTATCTGACAATACACCTTGGAAATGTGAGCAGTTGATTCCCAAGTGGACAGTCCCACTCCCCCTCAGCCCCCCAGCTCTGCATTCCAGCCCCTTCTTTGGCTTTGGCTCTTTGAAACAGTTTCAAGAAGAAAATGTGCTAAAGCCTATTTATTTTGGGGGAGGACAGAAGAAAGGCATACTTTTCTGCCCATTCAGCCTTGGAACTAATTCAGTGCTGGTGAGATGAATGCAAAGGTGGGTGGGTGTAGCTGGAGGCCAAGTACACAGCCACACATCTGAAGAAGATTAGCCACTATACCAGTGCACCAAGAGCATCGAACTATGGCTTTTGGTAGCATAACATCCTCTGAATGAGAAATAATACAGAAGAAACCTGAAAGATTAATGAAAAATAAAAACCACTGATTTTCCAACTTTGGAGAACCCACTAATGCTCTGGATAACATTTTGGAAAAAATTACTTTGCTCAAAACCAAGGAAGACAAAGTCTGAATTTCATTCCACATGTTCATCAAAGCTATTGTAATCTTAGATGGCTCTCCATATTAAAATTATCTGGTTTTTTTTACTAAAGCTTTATTAGTTTTATCATGGTTGTTTCAATATTTTATTTCCACAGCGATTAATTTTTAACTGTAATACAATCCAGCCAGTGGCAAAAAGACTGCTCTAGGTGTAGTTGTTTACCCAGCATGCTCCATGCTGTGTTTGGCTGTGACCAGTCTAGTGTCTGGACCTCTGTCTGCAGGCACCAAGAGGTGCTGATGCTGCAGCTGATAACCCCTTTGAGGGAATGTGTTTGTTCTCAGTCAGTGCTTTGAAGTTTAGAGGTAGAAGACACTTTTGCTTACACACTGCTGAGACCCTATTTTGTGGTTACACTCAACTCAATGCTTCATGCTGCAGGACCTGCTGTTATGTATCTTCATTTCTTTCCCTTATCAGACACCTGCTTTGTTTTGAATGTGAATACCCACCTGCATATAACCCCAAGGCCCTTCCTGTAGTCCTCTTCTAATGACTACCCCCATCCTCTCCTCCAGGGATATTATCCCTATATATATATGCATTTTGCAAGCTACATCTGCTCCCCAAATTTCTTCTTTCTTTCCTCTTTTCCCTATCTTCTATTCCACACACTCTAAGAAGCCTGTGTGACTCTGCATCAGAGTCTGTTTCCCCTTCTAATCCAAACACTGCTAATTTTTCACCAATCTTCCATCTTCAAAGCCTTTTCCTGTACCTCCATTTCAGCCTGCAGAAGGCAGTTTGATTTTCCCTTTGCCCATAGCAACATCCAATTTTCTGAAAATTAGCTCCCTTGTTTCAATGGACTTCTTCAAATTTAGCATTGTGGATCCCATAGGTCTTTGTCCCTACTATTTTTATCAAGCCCTCTCCAAGGACTGTTATTTTTTTTACTCTCACTTTTTCACCAGTGAGGTCCTTCCTTCATACTTGTATTTGCTTTAAAAATTTCCAAATTCAAAGATGCGTTATTTGTCGAGGCTCATTTTATTAGCTCAATTTATTATCTCCTTTAAAGAGCAAATATGACAGAAAGCCTGTAATGATCATTTGCAGATCCTCCCTCACTAACTTAAGTTGGAAGACAGTTCCAAGGCAGGCATTACAGCTATCTTTTGGAGACTTTACCTGATTCACCTGGTGATGGATTCCAGGATGCACTTATTAAAGCGGACAGTTCAGTGACTGGCTGGTAACATTGTTTCTGCTCTTAAGCGGAAAAAAGTAGAATATAATCCCAAGCTTTTTTTCCTGACAATGTCTAGGAGAACGTCTGACAACTGCTTGGGAACTGAGAATTTTCCAGCATTAGAGACTGTGGGAAAGGATTATCCTCAGTAAAGTCACTTTAAATCCTGTATAGTTTTAAAAGCTCCTACTTCTATTCTTCGTTTTCATTTCTGTTTCAAACTCCTTTGGTTGTGCACTCCCTTGGGGTCAAGCACATATCCCCTGAGAAATCTGAGGGTGGAAAGACATGAAAATTTCAGGAAATCTCTTACTTAGACTGTATTTATCATTGTGGAGCTCAAGTATTTCTCCAGAGAGAAGAAAATGAAGCATTTGGAAATACGTTCTTTTTCTGCCACTGTTTATATTGCAGTTAAAAGCTTTTTATCCATGCCTACTAGAACAGTGACCAACTAGCATCTTCTCAAGGGAAGTGATACTTCAGAAAGGGCACATTGAGCTGCAACTGCCACTTCTTTTAGATGTCAGTAAATGCACATCAGGCTTCTCAGGAAACACAGGAATACTAAACATTAATTTTTTTTAATGCTTCTTTAATTTATTCATAACCAGGTTGTCTTCACTTATTTGTTTGTCTCTGACTGACTTTTGGAGAAAGGGCATTTTTAATTTCACTTGCTCAGATAAACTTTGAATTAAATTCTTGCCCATGTTACTAAATACTTAGACCATTCTGAAACCTCTACAGAGAAGTACAAGAATTTTTTTTTAGACAAAGCCCTTTCAGTTCCAAATTATCTTGGATGGAGGCCAGATACATACATTTTCTTCTGAGGTAGATCTTTGGTGTATTATCCAGAGCTTGAGAGTCCTTCTTTTTAAAGTTTTATAACCCATAATAAAAGATTCAGTCACCTTAAGACTCTCAGGCATTCTCTGGTGCTTCTTTGAAGCAACTTAGGCATTTAGGATTGTATATATGCAGTGCAATCTCTCAAAAATAACATCATCTAAAGCCTGGGAAAATCTGCATTGTAGTGAAAGCATTGAAAGAGATACTGAAGGGCTCAAAGAAAGGAAAGATGCCTTCAAGAACACAAGATTTATTACGCAGTTCCTACTAGAGGAAGGTCTATGTATGTCTAGATACTCTATTCTATAATTATGTTCCCATTACTGATTCAGGAAGCTTACACTACAAACAAACAAACAAACAGAAAAAGAATATTTATAGCTTAAAAATGGGAAAAAGGAAGACCTAGGGAACTACAGACCAGTGAGCCTCACCTCTGTGCCTGGGAAGATCATGAAACAGATCTTCATGGAAGCAATGTCAAGGCACATACAAGACAAGAAGGTGATCTGAGACAACCAGCACAGCTTCACCAAGGGAATCATGCCTGACCAACCTGGTGGTTTTCTACAATGGAATGACTGTAATGCGTGACAAGGTCAACAAATTAACAGATGTGATCTACCTGGACTTCTATAAAGCCTTCAACATGGTCCTACATGACATCCTTATCTCTGTAAATTGGAGAGACATGGATTTGAAGGGTGGACTACTCAGTGGATAGAGAATTGGCTGGCTGGATGCAGCCAGAGAGCTGTGGTCAGTGGTTCTATGTCCAGGTGGAGGCCGGTGACAAGTGGTGTCCCTCGGTTCCATCTGGAGACTGGTGCTCTTTAATATCTTCATCAATGACATAATCAGTGAGAACAAGCACACCCTCAGCAAGTTTGCACATGACACCAAGCTGAGCACTGCAGCTGACACAAAAGAAGGAAGGAGTGCCAGGGAGACCTGGACAAACTTGAGAAGTCGGCCCACAAGAACCTCATGAAGCTCAACAAGTCCAAGTGCAAGGTCCTGCAACTGGATCAGGGCAATCCCAGGCATGATTACAGACTGGGAGAGAACCTCACTGAGAGCACCCGCTGGGAAGGACTTGGCGGCTCTCATAGATGAAAAGCTGGACATGAGCCAACAGTGTGTGCTCACAGCCCAGAAAGCCAACTGTATCTTGGGCTGCATCAAAAGAGGTCAAGAGAGGTGATTCTCCCATCTGCTCTGCCCTTGTGAGACCCCACCTGGAGTGCTGCATCCAAGTCTGGAATCCTCAGCACAAGAAAGACATGAACCTGATTAAGTGAGTCCAGAGAAGGGCCACAAAGACAGTTAGAGGGATGAAGCACCTCTCCTATGAGGAGAGTTTGAGAGAGCTGGGGTTGTTCAGCCAGAAGAAAAGGCTCTGGAGAGACTTTATTGCAATCTTCCAGTACTTATCGGGGTCTTATGAAAAAGAAGGAGAGCAAGATTTTACACTGGCATGTAGTTGTAAGACAAGGGGAAGAGTTTTAAACTAAAAGAGGAGAGATTTAGATTAGATGTTAGAAAGAAATTCTTTACTCAGAGGGTAATGAGGCACTGGAACATGTCACCCAGAGAAGTTGTAGACATCACTGGAAATGTTCAAGGCCAGGCTTCGAGCTACCTAGTCTAGTGGAAGGTGCTCCTGCCTATGGTGGTGAGGTTGGAACTAGATGATCCTTAAGGTCCTTTCCATTCCCTCCCAAACCATTCTATAATTCTGTGATTGCCTGCCTGAGCATCTACAAGAAAAGATATCATAAACAGGAATTTCCTGTGTTTCTTAGTGGGTTAATTAATGGGGTTTCTATTAATTCAATTGATTTCTCAAACAAAAATGTACCTGTTGTGGTTCTCTGCCTTGCTCTTTTCATTCTGCTCCTTATTGACACATCATAAAACCAGCACATGAAACAATCACACAGATTTCTGTATTTGGCTGGAACAAGTATAAAGTGATCACGGTTTATTTGTTCAGCGCACCACCACTAATGGATTCTTTGGTTTTCTGGTTTTCTGTACTATCCACCAGCAGTATTATTTAATGCTTAATACACGTTGCAAACTCCCAATTAAATGGTTGCATATTGTTAATTATCTCTATACAGGTCTCCTTAGTCTGCACATGCCCAGCAGTGCATCTGAATGGACCTTCTGCCACCAGTGGCTTCAAGCTGATGTATACTATGCATATGAACTAAAACAGAACTTAAGCCAAAGGATTATGGAGGGGCAGCAGCCCAGTTCAGCTTGAACTCTGCTTTCCATTATAAATCTCACTCTGATTTCCATCCAAAATCTTCAAAGAATATCCTCTGTGCTTCAAAGTTTTCATGTTTGTCCATTTGAGAATATCTTCTACAGATGACCAGAAATGCCTATCAGATTTCAGTGAACACTGAAAAGATGTCAAAAGAGGCTGTTTAGAAAGCAGTGATTTTCTTGCCTTTTTCCCTTCTGAAGATAGCCTTAAGACACATTTTCATCATCAGGAGTTTTTTCACAATGATTTCTTTCTTTTGAGACTAAGGGAGGAAAATGTGATCTTTTCTTTCTGCCAGCAACCAGTCATGGTCTTTGCCAGTGACCAAACACATCAGCATGCCTGATGCAACTGCTCTATCAGCTTTTGCTAAGATTCACACCACTTCAGTGGCAAGGAAAAATCTCAGGCAATCTCTGCTACATTTCCTCTCAATCAAGTCCTATTTGTCAAATGTCTTTTTGAAAACATTCCCACTTATTGGAGCATATTGAAGAGAGATTAATAACTGTCTCTTTCTGCTTGTGTTACTGGATCTAGAGCACTGGGTCCACTGCGTAGACTGGACATTCTCAAGGAGGAGAACTGTTCAACCTTTGCCCAGTAATGACTATCAATCTCTGTACAGATAAATCAATAGAATGTTTCAACAGTCTCCCCTTCAAAGCTATTTCAGGATAGATTTGGCCATCAATTATAACAGAAATAGCAGGATAAGCTTAAAGATCTTGAGAAGGGCTTCTGGTGACAGCACTTCTCTGGTAAAAGAGATAAAAGTTTATCAGCAAAAGGGATTTTTTTCTGTGCATTAGTTCTACACATTTTTCTATACCTTCTACACTCAGAGATCTGTTGGTAACATGCATTCACAAAACAAGCCTGACAAAACACCACAGCTAAGAAATTTTGCTCTTCTCATTTATTTTTATAATACTGCACAAACTTTCAGAGGCAACTTCAATTAAGAGCATGTGCAGAACAACTCAGAAGAGCTAAGCTAATCCGTGTTTGCTGAAATGGTCACATAGGAACAGCTTCAATGTTTGAAGCCCATCCAGAAAAGACTGTCTCAGGCAATAGCATGCAAGAACTTGTGATCTAAAGGTGAGAATCTCACAATGAGTTGGATGTCTAAGACAGCAGTGGGACTTGATGATCTTAAAGGTCTTTTCCAACTTAAATATATGATTCTATGAATACAAGCTTTCAGGCATATTTATCACTGAATGTCCCTCTGGGGAGCACAAAGAGTGATCATCAGTTTTAAGAAGACTTGTTTACAGCTTCCCTGTTCTAAACTAGATGCTGATTACCCAGAAGTTAACTATCTGCTGTCTCATACAGCACTAAAAGGTATGCTAGATGGGAACATACATGAATATAAATTCCAAGTAAAATTAGAAATTGTGAGAGTTACTTTTACACTGGAGACCTTAACAAAAAGGAAGCACTGTATATTCCAGGTGTTTAAGATTCAGTTTTTACCGGCAATGAATGAAGTCAGGAACAGGATTATGCTGACTAAAAGATGCTGCATCAAGATTCATGCAAATTTCCACATTATCTCCAGCCATGATTCGTACTGCAGCTTTATTTTCATCCTCGAATGTCTGCCTTTGCAAGGATGCACACAGCAGCAACATGAAATCATCTAAGAGAAACAGCAATTGCAAGGAAAAATTCAGTCATTAACATAGGTGTAAAAAGTGATTGTGATACATTATAATGTAGTTACCAGGCTTTACCCACACTTTGAACCTCCAAGACTGTGCTGCTTTCAGTGCACTTAACACTGATTTGAAATTTATTAATGTATTTAGGGTCTTTTACCTCTCATTATCTACAACTTTTATTGAGAAATAAATTAGAAAATGGGAAATAATTCATACTTTTTATGTCACATTATTAAAAATGGGACACATGAAAAACAGACACAGAAATTAGTAATTCTTTGGGTTTTTTCTACAACATACATGGCCACATTTAGCATTCAGTCTCCCACAGAATATGCCATCTTGCTACTGAAGAGTAAATAAAAGGCTGGCTTCAAGTTACACTGTACAGATGTTTTAAGAAAAGGACATATAAACATTTCACAACTATGTGCTAAAATACTTACACACAAGGAAGACAGGGTTTGGTCTCACAATGAAGTCTGGAAAGTATAACCACTTTATGATGTTGGAGTTAAAGTTGGCATTACCACTTCTCCATGGATAGTCTGTAGGATAGAAGCATGCAGAAATGCAATCAGTACTTTATAACAATTACTTCATCCTTTTCTTCTGAATACTTACCCATTTTCCAGCACTTTTCTGTAAAACCAAGAAGCAGTAATTTTCCACAAAGGGTAAATGTCTGTACCTTTACAAGGAGCAGGTGGGATGCCAATGCAAAGGAAGTACTGGAATGTAATGATGCATGCCAGAAAACAGCAGTATTTGGGCCAGATCTCTGCAATGGCTTTTCTTCTACGTCGATACAATACAGCAATCAGCCAGAAGGCATGAATCATGGCATAAAAATCCATCCGTTGACCAATTACATTCACCGATAGAAGAAAACAGGTCTGGAAGCAAAGTAAAGAAACATAAGCAACATTTACAACCTGATGGCTAGACAATGCAGCAATAAGAAAGCATTGTGGATCCTGACAGAATGCTTGGACATGTCCTGCATCTGACTGCAGGAACTTTGTGCAAACCAACATGCAACCTCCTCCACTCTACCCCAACACCCAAACTTGCGATACTCTTCTACATGTGAATGCAGCACTAGAGCAGGTTTCCATTATGTGATACCTAAAGATGCGGAATGGAAAGAGCATTGTCACAGCAGCTGATACATGAAATGTTTAATTGCTGCCAAGCAAAGCACATATTACACAGTCATATATTCTGATACCACTAACAGATGTGAAAAAGAGCAGGAACTATTAAGATTAGCAACATCTAAAATGTATCCTCATGTGGGAAACAGATAAAAAGAAAAGGGATTTAGACCACAGTGCTTCTACTGATAACGGACAAATCCAGTCAATTCCTGTAAGGTAGCTTTAGTTATCCATTATTCTAACAGCTATGCATTCCAGAATTTCTGTTCTTTGGCTTCGCTGAAAGTAATCACTTCACTCAGTGCCATGAAACATGTTTTCAAACTTGGTGAATACTTCATAGTGAATCGTTTATTCAGTGCACTACACTATTTAGATCTTTCTCCTCAGATTAGGATGATCTTGAAATAACTTCCCGGAGGAAATAGCTTGCTGGTTTCTTTCAATTTTCACTCATTCTTGATACTCAGACTGTCTGTAAACAGTTTACTCTCTTTATCAGTAGCAAGTGGTGGTAATGTTTAATAGACAGGTCAAGAGCATCATTATGATTAGATTTAAGATACATTAGCCTGGGAGATGGCTTCTTCAGACAGGCATAGAAATTTGTGAGAAATCACTATTTCTACAAACATTCTTGAGAGTATAATTCATGTGTCCATGAACAGCCAAAGTAAGGGAACAAATACAACCAACATGACTGATGACTAAGAAGCACCCAGATGTCAAACACAGTCCAAGCTAGTATTCAAAAATAACACATTCAAAAGGTTTGGAATGATAGTATAAAGAAAAGCTATACATAGTGATTTTTTTGACTGGAAAAAGGGAAACATAACCCACATTTTTAAAAAGGGAAAAGCAGCAGAACGAGGGAACTATCGACCGGTCAGTCTCACAATCCTGGCAAGATCATGGAACAGATTCTCCTGGAAGCTATGCTTAGGCACATGGAAAGCAAAGAGGTGATTGGTAATAACCATCATGGCTTTACCAGTCATGCCTGACGAATTTGGTGGCCTTCTATGATGGGGCTACTGAATTTGTGGATAGAGGCAGAGCAACTGATGTCATCTACCTGGACTTATGCAAAGCATTTGACACTGTCACGCATGACATCCTTGTCTCTAAATTGGAGACATGGATTTGATGGGTGTACCACTCAGTGGATAAAGAACTGGCTGGACAGTCACATGCAAAGAGTTGTGGTCAGCGGCTCACTGCCCCCATGGAAGCCAGTGATGAGTGGTGTCCCTCAAGGGTCAGTGCTGGGGCTGATACTGTTCAACATCTTTGTTGATGACATGGACAGTGGGATTGAGTGCACCCTCAGCAAGTTTGCTGACCACACCAAGCTGTGTGGGGCAGTAGACATGCTGGAGGGAAGGGATGCCATCCAGAGAGACCTTGATAGGGTTGAGAGGTGGGCCAATGCAAACCTCATGAAGGTCAACAAAATGAAGTGCAAGGTCCTACATCTGGGCCATGGCAATTCCAGGCACAGCTACACATTGGGTGGGGAAATAATCAAAACCAGCAGTGAGGAGAAAGACTTGGGAGTGACAGAGGAAGAGAAACTCACAATGAGCAGAAGTGTGCGCTAGCAGCCCAGAAAGCCAATTTGAATCGTGGGCTGCATCGAGTGCGGCTAGCAGGTCAAAAGAGGTCATTATTCTCCTCTATTCGGCTCTCATGAGACCCCCCCTGGAATAGTGCATGCAGTTCTAGTGCCCTCAACATAAGAAGGACATGGAACTGTCGCAGCAAGTCCAGAGGAGGCCACGAAGTTGGTAAGAGGACTGGAGCACCTGCCCTATGAAGACAGGCTGAGGAGGTTGGGGCTGTTCAGCCTGGAGAAGAGAAGACTGCATGGAGACCTTACAGCAACTTTTCAATATCTCAAGGGGGCATACAAGGGACCCAGAGAGGCGCTATTTATTAGGAACTGCAATGATAGGACAAGGGCTAATGGGTTCAAACTGGAGGAGGGGAAGTTTAGGTTAGATATTGGAAAAAAGCTTTTTACTGTAAGGGTGGTGAGACATTGGCACAGGTTGCCCAGGGACGTGGTGGCTGTGGTGTTCAAGGCCAGGCTGGATGAGGCCTTGAGCAACCTGGTCTAATGGGGAGGTGTCCCTGGAGAGTTGTGACTAGATGACCTGTAACGTTCATGACAACCCCTAAAATTCTATGATTCTATGATTTACCTCCAAGCCAAACTTGTAGAAGAAGTAGTTTATAAAGTACTTGACACAGTTTACCAGTCCGTCATCCAGATGTGCTCTTGTAATATCATGGAAAATGGTTTTAGTCACAGGTGCAGTAAGGTTATTTCGACATCTGTAGTATTCTTGATGACGGTAGATGGTAACTTCAAAAGCCAGAATAGCCAGCATCAGTAAATTATTCTATGGGAGACACAATCAGAAGAATATTAAATAAAAGTCAAAACCACAAGAAGCTGTACAATTTTCTGATAAGCATAAACCCATGAATACTCAAATTGATGTTACCACCGAGTACTTCTGCACTCCAGGAGAACTGGCACCTATTCCCAGCTGCTATCATAGAAACAAAGTAAGGCTCCTACAACTTCTTGGATTTTGATGAATCATACAGACATTCAGAAGACACATTTAAAGACATTCATTAAAAAATCCTAGAATGAACAATAGTTGTGGAAAGGAAGAGGAGACACTATCTGCCAGTCTTTGCTCAGGCACAGCTCCTTCTGTCTCAAAGCCAGATTCACTGCAATATGGTGTTGAGTGGCTTTGAAGTGGATATTTTTTTCTTTCAGGAAGGAGATCTGCCCTATGCTCAATAGAAGAGAGGTACTAACCAGCTCCAAAAGCTGGTTGAAAAGATCAGCTCAGAGAAAGTGTCTCAAGAAAGCCATAACTGAAGAGAAGAGGCAATCTCTAGATCTCTGTTCCCTGGGAAATATTTGGGAAAAGAACCTCCTGAGACAGGTGCCCCTGGGTTTTTGGTTTGTTTCTTTGTTTGGGTTTTGCATTGCTGTTTTCTTTTCAACCTGTTACTTTTGCTTGCTGTTCCTGGGCTTCCTCTTCTGGTTGGGAGAGTTTTACACAAACCATCGAAGATGGGCTCCTTACTTCAACCCTGCAGGCACTCTGAATGTCTGCCATAAAAGGAGCATAACAGAAACACAGCAAGATTTGAAGCTTGGGACCTTCAGGTCTGGCACTGAAACAAATTTTCATATGCACAGAAGACATCTTATTTCCTAACTTAATTAAAACCCTTCTAGAACAATTTCTAAACCCAAAGTATTTTCAATTTGTAGCTGGTAAGCTCTAGTGTCAAGGCAGACACCACTAGGTAACTTCACTCTCCATGCAGAACTCTTGGGTCAGTAACTGCCCTTCCCCATGCATATTCTTAACTGCAGGCACTACACAGCTAATGGAGAGAGAGGGAGAGGCACTAGCAGGGCCGGATATGTTGACCACCAAAGCTTGTCAGGTATTCCCTACGCAAACAAAGAACACAGAGGTAAGCTCTCAGGGAAAAGATGACAAATAAATGTGGTTAGATCAAAACATGATGTTGTTCAGTTGGCCAATTTCTGACAAGCTTAAACTATATATATAAAATTTTGGAGATTCTTTAAATTAAGAAGAGATACGCAAGGTTTATCCCCAGGACTTGGCGCATTTTCATTGTAAATAGGGTTTTTTCAATCAAGACAGAAATAGTAACATATTGCTTACAGGCATCAACAAAAAAAAACCAGAAAGAAAAAAAAAAGACATCCATTCACTAGTATTTGATTGAATTATTCCTTTAACTCATTATATTTTCTAAACTGTGGCTAAGGAATAAGCACTAAACAAAATCAACTGCTTATAGCACACACTGTCATTCAAGGCAATTATTTCAATTAGACCCGTAAGTCATTTGGTACCTGAAAGCTATGTACCTCTTAATTACTTAGAGTTGTTAAGTATTACTTTTCTTAAAGAGCTTTTAACAGATAGTAGAGTCTGAAAGCCATACTCTTACATGCAAGATTATCTTAATTGGTACTGAATCCCTTCTGAAAATATTCTGTGTAACAGTTATGGCGTTCTGTTGCCCCTTGCCCTCTGTACTTCCCTGTTATTGATGGCTTGCATTAAATTCTTCTGTGTGGGACAGATTATTTATTTCAAGAACATTGCAAATTTCATCACAAATAAAATATCTGATTACAGATAATTAAAGAAGTTACCCTTAAGTACACAAGCAGAGGATTAGACTTTCTCAATCCGACCCACTCTGCAGGATCAACTTCCCCACGGTAGAGCACCGAGGTTCTGAGTTCTTCATAATTGACCTTAGTTTCATTCTCTCCTGGCTAAAAAGAAAATGCAATAGTTATTAAACATGAGTTTAAGGCTTGGGGAGGGAATGATAATCAATAGTAATGCATCAGATGAACTGTATTTTTCAGTACTTGATATGCTTCCTTTTGCTCCTCTTCACTGAAGAAGGCAGCAGTCAAACATTTTTAATATTCACTTATACTCACCAATACACATTTACTGGAAAAAGTACTGGGATCGATAGATGAGAGCTGGTACAACATTTTGCAGACAATAATCACACATGTCCAGACAGTGCAGATACTCGATGCCAGTGGGCGAAACTGAGCATATGGCAAAGCAAGAGCCCAGGCAATTAAAAACACCAAGTTAAACAGAGACACCTGAAAACACAAAAACAGTACGAAAATTACATGGACTAACAAAAGAACTGAGAAAGTTTGACATTTTCCAGAGTAAATAAAAAAAAAAGAATCATTCAAAAGAAGGAGACATGGAGAAACTTTGAGGAAAATACTGAGAAAAGATTACAACGATACTCACAATAACATAGACACAAAGTGGTTAGTGAGGAAGGAAAAGCTTAATAGTCAGTTTAGGAGGAACCTTATCACCTACACAATATTAATACTGTTAGACCCACAGAACTCTATATCCTCCCTACCAAAAGACACGAAATACAAAGGACCACATGCAGCTTCTGCTGCTTTTGTACACAAGAAACAAAGAAGAGATGATACAAATCCTTGTGTCTGTGCAATCCACCTTCATCCTCTTGATCTTTTCCCCACAAAAATGTGAGCAAAAGAACTGGGTTTTTTAATTTTGATTTTTTTTTAGTGAATCCTGTCCTACTACCCTATTCAAGGAATGGCTATGTCACGTAGAGAACTCATACAGCCCACACCACAGCTAAAGGGTTTGCTCCCTTTAAAGAAATAGGCGTAGCTCCATATTCTTGTTTCTTAAGCACCAGATCCAGTTTTTTCCTGTATGTTCCTTCCCAACCCTTTTCTACACCCTCCATCCTCAGACAGTGCCCACAGCCAGTCTGAGCTGGCTGAGGAAAGGGATTACATCTCTTAAATCGAAAGAATTAGACTAATTATACTTCAATATCTGAAGGAAAGGGGAGGGCTGAGACTATCTAGACAGACAGAATATCACTGTGGAAGATGTTGAGGTGGGTGGCCAGCAGACTGCAAACCCAGCTGGATCCCACAACTTCAGTGAGGTCTGACAGAAGGAGGTCATCTCCCTACAGTTGGATGTGTCACCACACAGGAGGTGCTGACATACCTCCACAATGGGTGAGTTTGACAGTGGGTGTTTACTTGCCTCTTTCACTGTGACCCAGATGATGTAAGAGGAAACAATTTTGATGATGTGAAGCTCCAACAGCCACCACACGAAGACTTGCATCTTATGAAAATACTCCAGGAATTTCAAAAACAGCACGGTAAGGCGGTCGATCACCAGATGCCACTTGTTCCTTAAGTCTGCAGGGATGTTCAAGCAAAACCATTGTGAGGAGAAACACAGAAGGTCTCTGTAAAAATGAATACTCCACTAGACAACAATATGATTTCTGCTTCTTCTCTTCTAAGCCTTAGAGCAAGACAAGATGGAGGATAAAGGTATGAAGGATAAAGGTATGGGTGCAGTGGTTAAGTAAGACAAAAAGAGGTTGAGGACCACTTAGCTGTGGTGCTCTCCCTTCTGATCCACATTCACTGGAAGGATTCCCCACTTCAAAACCAGCAGTGGGGGCCTCCCTTGCCAATTTTGCTTTTATTCCTCTCTGTCAGAGCCTTTCTTGGCCACTGTTTTCTTCCAGTATCTTTGGATCTAAGTTTAGAGATCCCATTCAGGGACTAGATGTGAGACACTCCTGCCCTGGTCCTTATCCATCTCTGAAAAATAGGATTTTTTTTTTAATGTTTGGAAGCTATGGACTATTCTGTTTTCAGAATGCACATACTACCGCTATTCAAAAAGCTTTTCAGCCAACCTGGAACAGATCTATGTACACTAGGATTAGGATTCTCACCATATGGCTTTAGACAACTATATTATTGACATCTTCAGATGTCAGAGTTATCTAAACTGCCTTGAAAGCAGCACAGCCTCCTAAAGTGTGGTCTGTGCTACCACAGGACAGACACCTAAAACAAGCAAGGCAATCTGTAGTCCAGTCGAATACTTATCTCAGATGAAAAAGTTTTAGCAAGATCCTGAAGCTGGTAAAAGTAACCCATCATAGGGGTGTTTTGTTAAAAATAGCCATCCTCCCAAATACTACCCCAGTGAGCAAGCATGTGGCAACATCTCACATGTGAGTATACATCACAATATATATGCTGAACAGTGCTTTCTAAGTGCCGACTTTGCTTGTGGGCTGGCTACAAAACTGTTTCACCGGGCTGGTATAGAGCAGTATAAAGTCTTCAAACTGTATTAGGGGTTTCAGAAGCACTTTGGAGATTAGGAAGGACTTTGCACACTGTGAGAACATTCTTACAGTTAACATCAGAGATGGAAACATTCGCAAAAGATATCAAAACACATCACTGTCTAAGCTGGTAAAAATGCGAAGGAGTTATCACCTTCTGTATGGAATTATTTCCACTCATCACACTGTTCTATATATAAAGCAAAACAAGGTGGTTATTCTGTGCCTATTTGTGGAAGAACACATGCACACTTGTGTAAAAAAGCGGACTTTTGGAACATTTCACAACTAAATTCCGTTTTTTTTCTTCTCACTTTTTTCTCCAAACACAACTTAGAAAATCCTAATAAAAATCCTGAGTGATGTAAATTCCATGAGCACATAATTAAACTTGACAAATTAATTAATCTATAGTGCTTTTGTAGCCACAATGAGTGCACTTAAGGAAAGTTGTTACAGAATTAGATGTTTTCACTCATTCTTTCATGGCTTCAATTTTAATTTGCAGTGTTGCACCATGCAGTATATAACCAGACAGTACTGGTTAAGTGGAGCAGGCAGATAAGGTACTGTAGTAAGCTCAGTCTAGCATGCTCAGGCACTACACACATAGGAAATAAAATATAGGCCTGAGTTCATCCATTGACAGATTGTACAACACTGTGTAATGAAGTCTGCACATGTGAACATGTTTAATGTCAAAGCTCTAGCCACGTGATCTAACTATTTGGTATAAATAAATAATAAATAAATGTGCAGCTTAAAGATGGATCACACATGGCAAGCAGCACTTCATGCTATTGCCAAGCCCTATAGGCTGCAGCTCCTCACTTCCCCTCTTGCACATGTCACTGCACAGGGTAATATTCACCAGCTGACCTCTGTCCCAAAGCTTTTCCAGGATGTAGGGATAGCCAGAGCACAACAGACTCATCACCCGTCATAGACCTCATGAAAGCTGGTCAAGAAATTTTCCATGGCCTCTGAACATCTCTGTGAGGGAAGATGTTCCCACAAGGAAAGATACGTAATTTCAGTTCAGCTTCAAGCACTGGAACAGGCTGCCCAGGGAAGTGGTGGAGTCACCATCCCTGTAGGTATTTAAAAGATGTGTAGATGTGGCACTGAGGGATGTGGTTTACTGCTGGACTGAGCAGTGCTGGGTTAATGACTGGACTCAATGATATTAAAAGGTCTTTTTCAACCTAAATGTTTCTGTAATTTCCTGGGGCAGTTAAGCCAGATGCGCTGCCATTTTGCCTTGACAAAGACTGTCCCTATTTATGTGTCACAGGCCTGTGAATATTGGCATGAGCAACTAAATTTGTGGTAAGGCCATTTCCAAAGAATACAGCTTCCTTGGGTGTTAAGTGCTCTTGTTTCATTTTTGGCTCATATTACAAACTGAATTATGGAAATAATCCATGTTAGGAGTTCATCCTAGCAATACCAAGGATGACAATATCAGCCTTAACCAAGTTTGCCCTTAAGCGTTTTTATGTTCATCTGGCTTCAATTACGCATTCCACATTCAGAAGTGAAAAATATGACACCAATGTGCACATAAATAATGAAGCAAAGCCATCGGGACTTTGGGAGAGGAGTGCCTTAAAAGCATGCAGTTTCAGATATTACATATATATGTAAATTTTCTTTGTTAGAAGGGGATTTCACTCTGAAGAAGTTCTCAGGATTTGGGGTAGCCTCCTAATAATCCAACCCAGACCACCTAGAAGAAGTGGGGTTTCTTTTGTTGTCTTCCTCTCAGCATCCTACAGAAACAGGATGATTTTTCCCTAGGAGAGACTGTAACCTGTTGACTAATTGACAAGTATGCATCTGCTCACACCATGCTCTTTGACAAAGACTGCATGTAAAACCATAAGGAAAACCTGATGACGGAAGTTAACAGGGATGACCAAGAACAAACCACCTGTTGCCACTAATTAAGGCTGACAAAGGCAAAATTTGCATTCTGTAGAGCTTACCTGTAGTTTCTTCTTCCTCTGATTCATTGTCTTCTTCATCATCATCATCATCATCATCTTCCTTGTCCTCATCTTCCTTTTCTTCTTCTTTTCCTTTTTTGACCCTCCCTTTCCCTCCCTCCCCCTCTGGTGCTTCCATTCTTTTCTCACCAGCCTCTTCCAGCATTTTATCCTCCTCCTTTTCTCTGCTGGCTGTTAAATTCATCATAGTTATGTCAGGCAGGCTTCCATCTTGGTGCACCAGTCTGTTGGTAAACAGTAGCATGTCAGCAAACTGAGTGGTAATGACATCGTAGTCTTTTTCTTTTTCAAGTTGTGTAATTAGAAAAAAATTAACCGTTCATGGAAAATGCCTCAAAAGTGGAAAAGTTAATGATTCTGGTACTCTCTTCAAACATACACTGAAAATTGAGTTGGAATGTATTAGTAACTACTTCTCACTCAGATACTACTGGTTAGTTAGTAATGAGTGGTATTGACACTTAAACTTGACATTTTCCCCACTGGAGAAAATGGTCAGAGTTTAAGATGTAGAAGCATGAAATGACATTATTTAAGAGGAAACATTTCATGACTTCATAGGGGACTTACTCATTTTGGTGGTTTGGTATTTTTTTCTTGAGGCTGCTCAAAGTAATTGGAACAGAAAGAAAAAGGGAGATGAGAACAGAGGGGTTACAGACGAAGGTAATCGACAAATACGTCATGCTACATCACAAGTCATAATGCATTCTCCTACTCCATCTGCAGAAGCCTTCTGATGCCAAGAGCATGCCATCATGACATTCACAGGGTGCTTCTATAAAGAAACATGGAATTGCAGCACAGATGGAAAGGGGGCAACCTATTTACATCAGTGCTAAACATGGGCAATGCTGTACCATGCTGTGAGTAATGCAGCTGAACCACCACAAGCATCTGACCTATTACTGTTAATGCATTACCACCTCCTTCCAATTGAGAGATGCAGCTAGAAAGCCAAGAAACTAGTGAATTTTCTTTCAGCTACAGGTTTGGGAACAAGCAGAATAAAAAATTCAATGGCTGTGGCTTCAGCGCATTTTATCATATCTGTCTTTGATAGTGCCATTCATTCTCTCTTTGCTACCACTCACAGAGATTTTTTTCTTAGATTTCTAACTGCCTTTAACTAAATCTATTAGTAAACTTCAGACTACCAAAATTGGAATACAACTTATTTAACACACAAACATCATTTCTCTAGTGCCAAGATGCCATTTTTTCCCGAGATTTATTTGGTATGTATCTTTACTGAGAAAAGAGACAGTCTTTTATGGCTTCAGATATTTTCTTTTTTCCCTGCAGCTGTGCTGTTGGGACTCACCTCCCACAGTTGCAGAAAACCTAGTTTTCCTAATTCCCTGAGTTTATGTGCTTTGCTGAGCTGCCATAAACAGTCCCTTTGAATATGACTTCTTGCAATAAAGTCTCCCTTTGCCAAGTGTACATCTATAGGATTAGGTCACTAAATGTTTAGTTATGCTATTGAAATTACTACACTTGGCATACTTTCAAGCACTTGTAAGACTGTTCTAATATGCTACAGTACCATCTCAGGGACTTATTTTTCATAAGTGAAATTCTGCCCTATTACCTATTCTGCCCTATTACTCCTATTAAAGGAAATTCTGCCAATTTTAACTAGGATTTTTACAGTTCAAGAAACTAAAAATTTAGATTTTTCTGTCTGATCATTCAAAACTAAGAGCATAGGCAAAGCAACTAATGAGAAAGTCAAACAATCAGAATTATTTTTCAATATATGGGAGTTGCAGTTTCTTCAAGATGGAAACAGAAATCTGACTAAACAATCCTGAAGTAGAAATTATGTACCAGTTGCCAAAAAGAAGAAAAGGTGGTTTAAAATTAGAAGTTTAACAAGGCAGTCAAGCACCAAAAAACCCTCTCTGAGTAAATTTAGTCACATTTTAGTAGCATCCATGACTCAAATCCCTCAACATGGATTGGGCAATGAACCTGAGTGTCTAGTAATCTGAAAATACGTTATACTCAACAATGTACTTAGTAGCTTTGCCTATTGAAAACAGAATCACAGAACCATAGAATGTTAATGGTTAGAAGGGACCTCAAAGATCATCCAGTCCCAAACCCCCTGCCATGGACAGGGACACCTCCCATTACACCGGGTTGATCATGGCTTTATCCAATCTCGCCAACACTACCAAAGTTGGGGCATCCCCAACTTCTCTGGGCAACCTGGTCTAGTACATCACCACCCTAAAAAATTTCTTCCTAATATGTAGTCCAAATTTCCAGTCTTTCAGTTTGTACTCATTACTCCTTGTCCTATCATGACAGTTTCTGATGAAGAGTCCTTCTCTGGCTTCTCTGTGGGCCCTCTTCAGGTACTAGAATGTTGCTAGAGGTCTCTACATAACCTTTTCTTCTCCAGGCAGAACAGCCCAACTTTCTAAGCCCGTCTTCGTAGGGTAGGTGGTGTTCCAGTCCTCTTATCAACTTCATGGTCCTCTTCTGGACTTGCTCCAACAGTTCATGTCCTTCTTATGTTGGTGGTACCAGAACAGTGCATAGTACTCAAGGTGAAGTCTCAAGAGCAGAGTAGACAGGTAGAATAACCTCCTTCAACTTGCTGGCCATGATCCTTTTGATGCAGCCCAGGATTTGGTTGGCTTTATGGGCTGAGAGTGTACACTGCCAGCTCATGTCAAGTTTCACATCACCCCCAAGTTTTTCTCAGCAGGGCTGCTCTGCATTAGTTCCCCATCCAACCTCGAGGTGTGTCTGGGACTGCGACATCCCAGGTGTAGAACCTTACACTTCACCTTGCTGAACCTCATGAGGTTGCATAAGCCCACCTCTCAAGCATGTCAAAGTCCCTCTGGATGGTATCCCTTCCCTCCAGCATGCTCACTACACCACAGAGCTTAACGTTGTCTGCAAACTTGCTGAGGGTGCACCTGATCCCACTGTTCATGTCGCTGACAAAGATGTTGAACAGTATTAGCCCCAGTACCGACCCCTGAGGAACACTACTCATCACTGGTCTCCACATGGAAAATGAGCTGTTGACCACAACTCTCTGCATGTGACTGTCCAGCCAGTTCTTTATCCACCAAGTGGTACACCCATCAAATTCATGTCTCTCCAATTTAGAGACAAGGGTGTTGTGTGGGACGGTGTCAAACACTGCGTAAGTCCAGGTAGACAAAGTCAGTTGCTCTGACTCTATTCACCAATGCTGTAGCCCATCATAAAAGGTGACCAAATTTGTCAGGCATGATTTGCCCTTAGTAAAGCCATGTTGGCTGTCACCAATCATCTATTTTGGGGCTTTTTGTTTATTTTCATTATTAAGCTAATACATATACCAAAAGGACATACAAATCTCTATAAACTGACTAAACAAAAATATTCTCCAAAAGGACATAAACTAACCTATACTTACCTCAAACTCTAATAAAGTACCTATAGGAAGTCATGTGTAAAGAAGAGAGAATGAATTTCCAGTTCAGTTCAAACATTACTGAGATCCCTGGTTTACTATAAACTATCAGAGCCCATTTAAAAGCCAATGCACCATGAAATTAAAGTATCCATATAATCAGACAGGTTTTGCACATGTGCAATTGCATTGATTTTTATGAGTTACCCTCCCAACTGATTTTTATAATGGAAAAACCTATGTTCACACTGGTATAAATCATGCACTTAATGACTTACCTCAGTGTAAATTGGACAGAAACACAATAACCCTATAGGATTTTGTATGAATGGACTCATTTTTTATTCATATAATTCACATTTGTATTCTGGAAATCCTGGAGGTGAAGGGGTTATAAAGGTGGATACATGCAACATATATACTTGATAAAGCTTTAGTATGAGCTTAATTTTCAGTAGACTGGCACTTAGTTTATCGGCATCAGTAGGCTTGAGCATTGGATCATGTGCTTAGGAGATTCAGGGATAGATAAAATGCCTTGCCCACTATTCAGAAAGTTAGTCTAATTGGAATATGTCTTCCAAAACTTCCTTATTTATTTCTAGGGTTGCTTTTCCTCCTTTTTTAAAAAAATTTTGGGTTTTTTTCCCACTACAAGATCACATTGTATTGTAAAAGACAACACTGAGGTACTAAGATATAAAAACTGCACTAGTTTAGAATTTTTAAGACAAGCTACACATACAGGCTTCACAGCTAGTCAGATATAACTTCATTGTTGGAAGCCACATACTGGTGGGAAATTATCCAAAATAACATAAAGGTATTGTGTCTGACACTTGAGAAGAGAAATAACTAATAATGCAGATGACAAGCCCTGAAGGTACGGCCAATAATGCTTTTAACTGAGAGCATTTCTTACCCTCAAATTCATCAACTAGGGTATCAATAATGAGAAGTATACTAGTAGATCTAGTTTTCAGCAACAAAGCAATTTCAGTGGCACAAAAATCAGGAATGTGCCACAGGTCCTTGCTGGATTCCTACTACTTCCATCTATTTGTAACTTAACTAGAGCAGAAGATTAATTAACTGAATGCATTGTGAAGCAACTTTTGCCTTTGATAATTTTTTTGCAATTTATGAATAGTTGAAAATTTCTGGCTCAAAAGAATCCTCAAGTATCTCTTATGTAAATCCTTAAGAATAGAAGGCTTTCTGCTCTGCAGAATGCTAGTCACCTACCTCCTGAATATTTGGTGTGCAAAACGCAAACTGAGCACAGTGCCATATAAATCCTGGCAGGACCCTGAGTGCCTTTCTGGTCCTTGCAGGGGCTTTGCTGCCTGCATTCAAGCCATACTGGGGTATGTGGAGAGGCCAGGAAGCCTCAGTGTTGGGGGTCTCTCTCCTTTAATTGGGAGCTGCTTTTGTGATGAGGCTTTCACCCCTATACTGTGGCTGCATTGTAGCTGTGTCTGCGCCTGCTCCTGTGCCTCCCTGAGTCTAAGCCTGACAGGCAGCCTGACACCTTGCCCTCACTGCCAGTCTGGCTTATCTCTGGGGACTCGCTAGGACCTCACCAGGTTGTGGCTGACCTTTGTTATCAACTCTGAATCTGACCCTCACCCTCAGTTGCTAGTTCATGTTCCTGACTCCCTGTGGGTGAGAGTCCAGCCTTGCCCCTCAGCTCCTGGCTTGTCTGCCCTCACCAAGGTGCTTGCCCTCACTGCTCACTTGAACACATGCTTCCTACAGACCAGATTTCTAGCTCTGGTGAACTTTTAAGAACCTTGACCCAAATTATATGATAACATTTGAAGGAGCATGAACATGACACGTAAATTAACTTCTTGCTAGAGGAGGTAGTCACATAAATTAACTTCCTGCTAGAGCAGGTAGTCACAAATATCTAAACAAGGGATTTTCTTGGCTTTTCTGTTTATATGTAGTAGTGACAACAAACTTGGAAGTCCTTCTATTCTTGGAGACAATTATACAAAAGCCCACATTAATTACAGTCAAATATTTTGAAAGCAATCTACTTTATGGAGCTGTTTTCAAGATGCCATTTATAAAGGGATGACAATGATGGCAATATGTGTTTTTCTAGATTGGATCCTGCAGCACCCATGAATTAACAGCCTTAGCATGCAGTGGTTTCAGTGTTCCATTTCTGCCTCTGAAATTTCAGTCTCTACAAACTCGTAACACATACCACATATTCAATTGACTTGGCCCTCGAATTCCCTTCCCTGTGTGCTTGTGAAGAAGACAGGGATATGTGTGTGTGCCTGTGTGTACACATGCACATGCAGACATGCATCATTCCATGCACAAACAAAGGGTAGACAAACGAGCCTCCTCAACCAAGTCTATTGTCTGCAGCCAATTACAAATAGCACCAATTATTCCTGTATTAAGGCATGGGCAAAGTTTAAGAGAAGAATTCCCAGATGGGAGATAAACTCACAATGTATAAATATGCAGAAGAGATGTATTAACTGCTTCACCAGCTTTAGGAAACTACAATACCTGAACAATGTTATCTCGCTGCTTACTTCACAGTACAGCACAGCAAGAATATACTTTGTTTTAAGGCAATCAAGAAGTAACAAAAAAGTTAAGGTATATCTGTTTTAAAGGAAAGGAAGAATTGAAGTACCCACCTATTAATTATTAGATATACACGGCCATTGACTTTGGCATGGCTATGAGGTGGGAGATGAAAGCACAAGATGAAAATGGAAAATGAATTAGAGAGAGAAAAGAAAAATGTTAAATAGGAATGAATGCACTTTCCTGTCTCCCAATGTTATGACACATTGTCATAACAAAGCACAATCCGACATCTTAAAATACACCATGCAGGGAAAAATCTAGGAAGCTTATAAATGCAACTCTTAGACATTTAGACCATATGCAACTTCAGTGAGAACCACAGGTAATTTTCATAGTCCCAAAAATGTGAGAACAGGCTTTATTGCTTTATGTCAAGTAAGCCTTAGAATATTCATTTTTAAAAATTTTTTTTTATTTTAAACAAATATTTAAAGGCAATTATGTTAGAGCATCATATTATAGAAATTATCTACCTCATAGCCTTTATCTCTGCCATACCATAATTCATGGTACAGCAAGGAAATAGGCTTGGAAAGTCCTAAACAGAGGTTTTTTTCTTGCTCTTGCAAATTTAAAACTGAGGCATTCAGTTCTGACACCTTTGTAGTAAGAAGTGCCTCACTCTGCCAATTCCAATGTGCCAGTTTCTGTGCCCTCTATTTGCAGCTGGAAGACCCTTACTCTTGAATTTACTCTGCAAACTTTGCTCACGTGAAGCAGCATCTTAATAAATGATAAGTCTCAGCAATTTTAACAGGACTCTTCAGTTAGACACAAACATAATACCACAATCACACATGGCAGTTCAGGGGCAGATGGAGGAACTGGAGCTGCTTTACTTATTACTTTCATGCTGTGATTATTTTAAGAAGTTCACTATTAAAAGGACTGAGTTCTGTCTTCTTACTCAAAATTAAGGTTCAGGTTCTTTATTTAAAAGTTTCTGTTTGCTGCAAAAGACACAGCCTAAAAGCAGTTTAGGAAGGTAAACCAGTTGTTGAGGGAATGTTAGTGTCTTCAAAGCAAAATGGAAAGTTAAGTTTTAGTAGCTTTGTAAGAAAATTACACACACAGAGGTATATATATGTGTGTGTGTGTGTGTTTAATATATACATACATGAGACTTAAATCTCTTTTTCATTGCCCCTGCAACTTCTATTGCTGGCATTACTGCTAGCTGAAGCTGGTTGTTGTGTTAGTTCTTATCCAGCTTTATGCATCATCAATACAAACGTCAGCTGAGCTCTCATTGTGAAACTTTGAACTATAAAATCAGCTCATGATCAGTACTGATTTATTGCATCCAGGGAAGAAAAGAGCTGGATCTTCATATGTCAGGCAGTATTAATAGATGCACAAACTAGAAAAACTGTTCTGATTTGGGTATTGGACATAATCGTGAGAGTTTCTCATGAGGAACAAATGATATATGATATTTGTAATTTTGAAACACTGCAAAATGGCAAATGTAGCACATATGCCACATTTAACAGTTAAAAATATCTAGCTACTTATCTGACTGCTTAATACAATCTACCACACATTCAGACTCTCAAAAATAGCATTCTGTTAGCAAGACAAAAAGGCTAATGATACTGTACTATGAACCCATTGAAATACTGTGAGTGCTTGGGGGTTATTTTTATTTCCATTTTGTGCCTACTGGATCACATTAGAAGGGAGGCAAAACTGTTTCTATGTTATTCAGCACAAGTGCAAACTGTTTGGGCTAGAAGAGAGTTTGCAGAGCATTCCACCAAATGCCTCAGAGCAGGAACAACTCGACTTCAATTCAGACACCTATCTGGGTTCTGTTTTCAGAGATGTTAACATATGCCTGCTGCTGCACAAGAAGTCTGCTATGGGCAAGGAAAGTTTGCTCACAGGCCACTACAAAGGGCCCTTCAATCTACCATCACAATCAACAATTCAAGAAAAGCAAAAGAAAGGTATTATGCAAACAGTCATTAAAAGATGTAAGTTTAAAAACTGCCACAACTTTATTGTAACATTTTGTTAAGTTTGATTTGTTCTGGTTTTAGCAATTATTGAAATACAGAAACTGGAAGCATTCTATAAAAGTAGAGTTTATTCTCGTGGCACAAATATACTTGTACCATACACTGCAAAGTAGCTTCATATCAAATTGAGTACATGAAAAATATCTGAAATGCCTTTGTAAACCTTGCAAAACAGAGAACATAATTCTCTGTTAAGATAAACTGTCATTATCCCACAGCACACTGTGGTGAATGTGATATGCAGCTGGTCTCCATTCATAGAAGTGCAGCTGAGATACACTTATTGCACAGGTGAATACTGAAAATAGTGTCTAAATAAACTGTTTTCTTCAAAGAATGTCTGTAATTGTCATTGTATAATATGACACTATGTACTATGAAACGATTTCTCTTTCTTAAACTCCTGGGGCAGGATCCTAGGCCACATATATATTTTTTAATACAGGGAAATACAGAAGAATTGAACACAGGAAAAGTGAAGTCCCAGAATAATGAAAAAATGCTAATGAAATTCTGGATGAAATCACCAAGTATCTCAAAGAGCTAGCATAGTCAAGGGGTCAGTACTATGAAGAGTGGCCACAAATTAGGGACTTTTTCCATTTCTGAAGTTCAGCTTTACAAACAAGCCTAATTGTTCAAAGCAAACATGATATTTACCAAAGATCTCTCAATCTTCATTTAGCCCTCGAAATGGACAACGAGAAAACAAAAGTGACCCAAATTAAATCTATATTTCTTATTACTGACAGGGCTTACGAAAAGACACATAAAGCAATTAAACATCTAACTCCTATTAAAAGTCAAAGTCAACGAGATATAGACATGAATACCATTAGTACCTTTGAAAATGTACCCTGAAATGAAAGATATTGGTGTGTACGGGAGAACAGGAGAAGACAGATACTTTGGTTGTAGCAGAGTGGTGGACACTGAGCACCTTCTTTTAAAGCAAGGTAGTCATAGCAAAGGCAAAGAACATCTACTGAAAGGTGAGCATTGCAAGACAGTCAGAAACAGCATTTTCACATGTAATCAATAGTTCCATTTACTTTGTTTCTTTACCTGTAAATAGTGTTATCCTGCTTGCTGGTTACAGCTTTTAAATCAGTGAGCTGGAGAAACTGATCATGGAAATAGTGAAGGTGTAGGATACACACCAGTAGGAATGAGGTGGGAATAAAGATGCGTGTGAATAGATCAGCCACAGAAAACTGTTTTAAGCCAAGGTCCTCTAGTCTGGGGGAAAAAAAAAGGAAGCTAGTAAGACACCTTTTCACACCAAAATATTTTTCTTGTCATGAGACATTACTATGAATCATTTGCAAAAGGAACAATGGGCTGGTACTTGTTACGTGGCTTCGTCTTTTAAAATTCTTCTAAATGAGCAAGTTTTACAATGGAAATATATTGCATTTGGATTCAGTAATGTAGAGAGATACTGTAAATGCACAATCAAATGAACCAACCCTGACACAGATCTCTTGAACCAGATGAGTTGTCTCTGACTGGGAAGGTCTGCACTGGAGATCTACTCATGTTGCATGCACTTTCTCAAGTGGGGCCTTCTTAGGAAATGCTGAACACATCGTAAGGATGAAGAAACTCATCCCTCCTCATTAACAGGAGAGTAGGTCCACCTTCATCAGCTTCAGACATCCTGCAAATCTACCCTTAATCTTTCCCTGGATCTCATTCATACGGTTAAAGAGGTAATGAGAAGTATTGGCAAGTACTGGGAACAGAAGAGATCCCAAGGCCTTCGTAGCTGATGGGAGAAAATACGATTCTTTGAGCCCATCTCTTGGTCTGGCTCATCTCTACTGTTACACCAATAAATCTATGGCTTCAGAACTGAGTGCTTAACATCAGCAATGCCAGAGAATGGTCTCAGGATGTTTTTCCCGCATAAGAAAGAATACTACTCTCAGATCTCTCTATCACACTGAACACAAAGATCCAAAGAAAAAAAATTAATCAAAACCACTTACTTCTTTTCGTCCAGGCCTGTCATGTTCTTCCACAAACCAGGGAATGACTCAAACTGGTATGTGTAGATGAAGATAAGTACCAACATCGTGTAAACAACCACTGACATCCAAAAGTACTTTAAAATCTTTCTCCACCATTCATAGTGTACCTGAAAACCACACATTAAAGATGCTGATACAAGCTGAAGGCAAGGCCACTGATAAAAATGTTGAAAACATTGTACTGGCAAACAAAGACCAAGAACACTGTCTTTCCTAGCTGTCCTGAAGTAAGCAATGCTTACCCAGTGGCAGCCACAGATCTTTGAGATTCAGTTTTTACTCCTGATAAAATAAAACACTCCTGATGAGTACACATGCATTCAAGTAAAGATTTCTGTGTAAAAAAGTCTGTTGGGACATGAGCCACAGACATAAAGGTCAGGAACAGCTTCAGTCACTCAGTTTCATCACCATTACATGGTGAAAGTCCAGGAGGAGAGAGACTCCATGCTCACTGGGGTGTGGAATCTGTGTGGACCAGCTGTCACAAAAATTGGTGGCTATGTAGAATGTGCACAGGCCCAGAATATTCCACAAAGATTCCAAAGTTCATAGTGATGTGGCATGCTAGAGCAGAGGTGTGTGTTATATCTCATTTATGTGCACTTTGCCTGCCACTGTAACCAAAAGCCAGAGAATTAATCTTAACCCCTTCAAATGACCTTACTCTATTGTATCTAACTAAAGAATAAAAACACTGTTTACGAAATCTCTTTAGAGCTACTTTATTACCAAATTAAAGGTATGAACACAGTTGTTACTTACCTGATAGAGGGCCACACAGAAGAGGAACAGTACCATATAGATGATTTTGTACATGACAATTGTACCCTCAAAGCTGACAAAGAAGAACATGCCCCCACAGACGTAAATCCAGTATTTGATTAGCATAGCCATCACCAGCTTCCCCAGGACTTTCATGATATCCTGTTCATCCTCCTCATCCTCTTCCTTCTCCTCCTCCTCTTCCTTCTCTTCCTCCTGTTCTTCTGACACTTCTCCCTCTTGTAACTCCTCTTCTGCAAATACAGAGTCACATTGGGCCTCTGTCTGTTCCAGGGACTTTTAGTAAGAATTTAAATGGGTGGAAGTAGAATGTCTGCACAAAACGCAGACACTTAAAACACAATATTCAAAAGAGGCTGTAATTCTGATTCATACATGCCTTCAGAGCAGGGAAAAGGATTTTAACTTCATATGAGCTTCAACCTGCTCCTGGAGCCATATGGCACATAGCTATATGTCCTTACCAGACACCCATCTTCACTTTGTCTGAAGTGCAGGCAGCTGTAGTGGAAAATTAGAGCCTAAGGGTTGTATAACGGATTAGAGCGAAAACACTTCCCATAGCAATGTTTATACTCTCAGGTAAGCAACCTTTTAAACTGGAAAACAAAGGAACCACCAGCACCACCAGAAAACTCTCATCTTGAGTCTTAAACTGTCATCTTGAGGTTCTCTTTAGAGAATATTGTGTTTACCTCCAAAAACCACAAGGAAGATAAAACATTAACATAAACTCAAACAAGCTTAAAAAATATAAATGCTGCACTAATGCTGCTGTTTTTCAAAGAAGCTACCATTTATCCAGCTTCTTCTGCTGTACCCGGGCCACTGCAGACAAAAACAGGCTGCTTTGTCCTATGAAGAGGTCAAGTTATTAACCTGTTATTAACCTTGTGAGGTTTGTAGAGCAGGGTAAGTGCCCCTCCAGTAGTAAGTACATTAGCAAGTATCTAGACAGCAGGGCTTGCCAAAACCATAGCATGTAGCTGTAATGCTTTTCTTCCCATGGAGAATGACATTGAGACCACCATCAAAAGGCTTTCTCACTCCTTTTGTCCCACTCACCATCCCTCTTCTCAGGCTCTTGCCTTGGAAATTCTTGCAGCGTCCAACTTTGACACTGATTACATATTTTACTGAGAGAAGTATTGTAATTAATCAGAGAGGAAACTACACCATTGCTTCCAGGGCTCACTTACTACCATTTCAGCACATTGAACTTGTTCAGATCAGCATCCAGCGAGAGAGAAAAGAGCAAGGGAGGGTTGGGGGAACATGTGCCCAGTAGCAAAGAGAGAACAGGCCACCAAGCTGTTAGAATAAGATGAACCTATAGAAGTAAACTTTGCTCTCAGGTATGCTTGTGCCCCTGCACTGAAAAAATACATGTTTACTTTTCCCATTTAATTTTGTAGTTTAACTTCTGTGTCTCTGTAAGTGTTTATGTACCAATACAACTTCCAAGAAATTTAGCAGCTGACTTTTCCAATGTAAACTCTTCTCCTGTGGTTAAAATCTTAGGGCAATTAATCAGCTAGTTTGAGTTTGGGACACTGGAGAAAACTGACTGTTTGAAACTTCCAAGATCTTTCTCAAATGAGTCATTTTAACTACCTTCCAGCAAAAATAAATCTCATTTTATTTGAACTTCTAAAGTTCAAAGGTGGTTTATTTTTATATCTGATAGTTACACATAGACTTTATAATATCTCTATTAGCTAATAACAGGTATTTTGCCAATTGCTTTCAGTATCAGAGAAATACAATAACTGGAACAGCTATCATGACTGAAGGACTAAATTTGATCTGGCTTTACCTTTTTCTTCATTTTCTTCACTTCCAACTTTGACCTCAGATAAAGTAGCTTCTTTTAGCCGAAGTGCTTTCTGTTCAGTGAGGTGTTGCCTAAGCAGTAGCCAGAAAGTAATTGTGAAAAGAATCTGCAAACAAAAATCAAAACAAAACCAACAGACTAATTGTATATTCTATGTCCTACTAATAAAAACATAGTTTTTCATAAATTTTGCATGCCTTTGTTTTCTCTGTCCATCAGAAAATGGCAATGATGGTGTTGGTGTCAAAGTGCATCTTTATGCAAATTATGTAACTTACGAAACATTCTGCATTACAAACAGTCTTGTTTCATTTGCACATTTCCAATTCTTGAAGGCACTTACCTGTATCTTTCTATTCTACCTCATTCTATTCAGTTTTTAAATACTGTCTTTTAAGTTAAAGGATCTTCTCTTTATGCACTGATTGGTACAATTCCCATTTGTGGTTTTCATTTTTATCCTTTTTTCAGAGATGAAGCACACGCAAATGAGTGTATTGCCATTATTATGTTTTTTTGTATCAAATATTTTGACTTAGGAGGTTTGGTACTTCAAGTGCCTCAACTCAATTAATTTAAAAAAATGTATTTTTGTCTGTCTTTCAGTTACAGAAGACCCATCCAACCAAATATGTCTTGTATTTGTAGCAGCTACAAGATTTAAGATTCTCTTGGTTCTTTGAAGACCTTTAAGAGATGATCATTCAACAACATCAGGATACCATAGAAATAAACAAACCTCTCTCATGAAGAGTGCAATTCTGTGTTTTGCAAAAAGCTAAATTCAACAGCTTGCAATACCAAGAGATGGACAAAATTCAGAAAACAGCATGATGCCTATTCATCACACACTTGATTTTATGTTTACTTTCTACAGACTTTCCACTAATTTCCCTGGTGCGGAAGAAGACATTACTTAGAAGAATAAAATCTCAAATAGGAAACATGTAAGAGCCAAATACTTTGCACACACTAGAACAGTCAGGCCAGTAGTGCAATGTAAAGAACTCTTCTATTCTTCTAACACGCAAGTACTTAATGGGGGAAAGAAGTGCTCCGGAGCTAGCAACAGCTGTTTTTGTTGACACTGCAGCTAACTCTGAGCCACAGAAGCACATTGTCAGCCTGTGTGATTTGTCATAGCTTCTCCAGATACCTCCTGGAGCTCTGACTTTTGCAACACAAACCTTTGATATTGTAAAACACAGATTTGTTCTGCAATGATTAGCTCTGTCTTCCAGCCACATTTATTCCCTGTTCTATATGGCATACCCAGAGCCAGAGCTGACTGTACAAAAACTCTTGAAGGGTTGCAGACTGAAGAAATGTTTTTAGTCACCCTTTACAATATACATTTTATTTTCTTTTCAGACCAGGAAACACACACATAGCATGCAGAAACTTATGCAGAAAGAATTACAGTAGACTTCTTTCTATTCTTCTCTCTGCAGAATACAGTATTCAATCTTCATTTAAATTCAACCATTACTCAAATAATTTTAAACTAGGAATATCGAGGGGGGTCAGAGTAACTAACACCCTTGAGTGGGACTGATGGACAAGGCTAACAAGCAAAGAGTGACTGGGGTGATGTGAATAAAAGGAAACACATAATTAATAAAACAAGGCTTATGCAGGGTCACCTCAAGCAAGGCAATTACGAGACACCATTATGGTGAAACCTTTCAGCTCCTTTCTGGGAAAACAGCATGCCAAGTACCTTTCTGAAATGCCTGTATATTAATGCATGCAACATAGGGAACAAACACAAGGAATTAGGTATGTCTGTGCAGGGCTGTTGTCTTGCTGGGATGACAGAGATAAGGCTTGAAGAGCTGCAGTAGAGATGTACAGGCTCTTTAGAAAGCACAGGCCAGAAAGATTAAGTGGAGCTGGGAGTTGCATGATAACACAGCTGGAATGCACAGGTTCTGCCAGGGGATGGATGATGAACCAGGTAATCTGGGAAGAACATAGTGAGACTGTTCTGGCATGTAGACACATGGTTAGAAAAGGCCTAAAATTGAGTCTAGCAAGGCATGTCAACAGAAACAAGAGGAGCTTCTGTAAATACCCAAGCAGAAACAAAGAAGGCTAGGGAAAATCTAGGCCTACTGCTGAGTGGGGCAAGGGCCCTGGCGGCATAGGACACGGAAGAAGTACCAAATGTACCTTTTGAGGTACCAAATGCCATATGTGCCTCAGTCTTTGCTAGCAAGACTAACCTTAAGGTATCTCAGGTCCTAGAGACCATGGAAAAGTCTGAAGCAAGGAAGACACACCCTTGGTGGAAGAGGATCAGATCAGAGGATATTTAAGAAAAGTGAGCAAACATAAGTCCAAAGGGTCCTGATGGGATATACCCATGAGTGCTGATGGAGCTGGCTGGTGTCACTCTAGAGGCTACTCTCAACGATCTTTGATCAAATGTGTTGACTGGGAGAAGTGCTGGAAGACTGGAGGAAAGCAAATATCCCTCTTATCTTCAAAAAGAGCAAGATAGAGGATACAGCCTGGACAACCTCACCTCAATCCTTGGGAAGCTGATAGTGTGAGATACTGGAAAAGGCTTCCTAGAGAAGTTATGGATGTTCCACCATTGGAAGTGTCTGAGATCAGGTTGCTTTGAGCAACCTGATCTAGTGAAAGATGTCCCTGCCTACAGCAGGGGAGGTTGGACTAGATGATCTTTAACAGTCCATGCTGACCCAAACCATTCTGTGATTCTAAGGTCATGGAGCAGCTAAACCTGGAAAACATTTCCAGGCACATGAAGGACAAGAAAACCATCAGGAATAGTCAGAGTGGATCCACTAAGGGGAAGTCATGCTTGATCAACTTAAACTTCTGACTTGGTAGATGATTGGAGAGCAGTGGATATTGCGTACTTAGACTTCAGACAGGATTTTGAAATTGTGTCTCATAAGATTCTCATAGAGATGCTGATGAAGTATGGACTGGATGAGCAGACAGTGAGGTAGACTGAAAATTGGCTGAACAACTGAGCTCAGAGGGTGGTGAACAGTGGCATAAAGTCTTGCTAGAGGTCAGTGACTAGCAATGTACTCCAGGGATCAATACTGAATCAAATCTTGTTCAAGATCTTCATTTATGAGCCAGGTGATGGGGCAGAGTGCATCCTCACCAAGCTTGCTGATAACATAAAACTAGGAGGAGTGGCTGATGCACCAGTGGGTTGTGTTGTCATCCAGGGGCTGACAGGAACATCATGGCATTCAGCAAGGGGAAGTCCAAAGTATTGCACCTGGGGAGGAAGAACCAGCTCATGCAGCATTACATATTGGTAACCAGCTGGAGAGTAGCTTGGCAGAAACAGCCTGGGCATCCTGGTAGATACCAAGTTGAACATGCAACAGCTATGTGCCCTTATGGCAAAGAGGGGCAGTGGTATCCTGGGCTAGATTAGGAGTGTTGCCAGCGGGTTGAGAAAGGTTATCCTTCTTCTCTACTCAGCACTGGTAAGGCCAGAACTCAAGCCCTGTGTCCTGTTCTGGCTTCCCAGTACAAGAGAGACATGGACGTACTGGAGAGAGTCCAGTTGAATGGCTGTGAAGCTGAAGGGACTGGAGTGTCTCTTCTATGAGAAAAGGCTGAGTGAGATGGTACTGCTCACCCTGAAGAGGAGAAAACTCAGGGGAAATCTCATCTAATTTCTATAAATACCTGAAGAAAGCCAGACCTTTTTCAGTGGTGCCCAGTTCTGGGACCAGAGGCAATGGGAACAAACTGAAACTGTTCTGTTTGAACATCACAAAACACATTTTTTCCTGTGAGGGTGACTGAGCACTGGCACACGTTGCCCAGGGATGTTGAGGACTCTCCATTCTTGGGGATATTCAGAAGCCATGTGGGCATGGTCCTGGACAATCAGCTCTAGCTGGCCCTGCTTGTGTAGTGGAGTTGGACCAGATGACCTCCAAAAGCCTCTTTTGGCCTCAACTATTCTGTGATTCTGTAAAAGCTGTGGAGTGAATACCCCACTAGTCATCTTCTATTACCTTTATGGATGAGGTCAAATCATCACATATACACAATAGTTTCCTTTCTTGACGCCATCTGGTTTTAGACAAGGTATTTGATGATATAGCTGATAAGAAACAATGTCAAAGGGGATGTCATAGTAAGGCAGTTAAAACTCCTTAGAGATATACAAAATCATTGAGAGAAACTGTAGAACTCTTGCAGAACCCCTTGAGCTTTAGCCCCTTTACTAAACTAGCCCTACCTTTACAAGAGAAATAATACAGCACTCACTAACTTTCAAATGCATTAAAATCCCAGGCATGGTCGTCCAAAGGGCACTGTCAACAGGGAAGATCACTTATAGAATCACCTTAAAATGTAATTAGGAGTCACAAGGGAAGTGATTCACACAGTGCAATGGAAGCAGTGCCAACAAGATTCACTCTCTGAGACACCTCTCTTGGGCGCTCAAGGAAACAACCTCCTACTTGTGCTCAGTCCCTTCCCCAGAAGCAAACTTGCCAAACAAAATGCATTTTGTAGTGCTTTCAAGACATTAAAGATAAAATCTATCATGCACTGAGGTCAGCAAACTCTCTTGGTTCTGACCTGAAATGGATTTCAACTCATGCTGATTCAGGTGTAAGGATAAAGAATTAAAGCTCAGTCACAGCTATGTGCTGCTGCTTGTGCCAAACCGTAAGGGAGTGAGTAGTACTGGTAATTACAATGACAGCACAGTTCCAGTTGCCGTCATATTCAGAGGAAATCTGACATCCCACGTGTATTAATCTAGCAAATCAAATCAATCCTAGTTTTGAATCCAGTTTATAAAACCAAACAAGCAATCAATTACCATTCACTAAGAATATTCTACAGAACTATCATAAAAATCTCAGAGATCTGAAATATTTGTTAGTATTAGCTTAAAAAACAAGTAGAAGTTTTCTGAACACTATCTTTTAGTAACTTACCCTTTATTTTAGAACTACTACTGAATGTGATTACACTGAATACTGTGGATTCAGTCTTAAAGAAACATCAAGAGGTCCACCTTTTTTATCACAATATATTTTGTGGTTTCATAAATAGATTTCAATTGTTTGTAACACCTACCTTTGACGCTAGCTCCCCAGGTTCTTTTCTTTTCAAAAAACCAGATACTTGAGGAAGCTCATCATTCTTGAGTTCAATACTCCATATATACTGCAGTATTAGAAGCAAATTTCCATAGAAAACCATGAAAGGTGAACTGATCATGGCGTATTTCCTTCGGTCCCGAATCATCCACAATGTGCAAGACCAGATCAGTAACACAAAAGTCAACCAGCTGTGATATGTGATACTCCACGCCTTGTGGAAGGAGGGAAAAGAAGAAAAAAAATGTCCAAATAGGCATACAGGAATAACATAGATGCATATTTCCAGTTTCGCTTAATTTACACTTCTCTATTTAGCTCATATTTTCATTGTCATCAGATTCTCACCCATATTAATCAGGTCCTGGACCAGCTACACTAAACTCCTTGGAGAACATGCAGAAAGTGGATTCTTACAAGGCCCACAATTGAGGGCAAACCCTGCTTAGTGTATTAATTGCACTGTGGTACACTTTGTAAGCAGACTTGTTGCTTCTCATAATCCCAAAGTAAGAGATGTGAAATACAGAGTAATGTCTGAGCACAAGACATCTTCTTGCAAGACAGCAGCAAAGAATTCAGAGTAGAAAGAGCAAAACATAATCAGTAGGTACTACGTTCAAGGCCCTTTATAGACTTGCAGAACTGCACTAACTTCATATTGTTCTAGCTTTTGTGGAATCAGTTTAAAATGGAAAGCTAAGGTGTGCACACAGATAACCTGAAGAACATTCAGTCTGTAGTAATCATGCTAGATTACTTGAAATACTCACAACTACAGAATGTCTTCTACAGCTTTCAGGATTCAGTTACTGCAAACTGCTCTATTAAACACTGAGGGAAAAGATCTGGACTTTAAGTGTTTTTTTAATCTACATTCTGTTATTGATTTAGGACTAAATTCAGCTGTATATATGCTGGTATAACTGGAAAAACTGCCAATAAAGCATTTTGTATTCTTTTTGAATTAAATAGAAAATTAATAAACATTAAGAATATTTTTATCAGGTTAGCTCAGCCCCCTTGGAAATGATGTCTATTAAGGGTATGTGAAAACACCAATATGCTACTTCTCTGTCCTCATATAAGAAAATAACTTACACTGAGCTGTCTTTGGTGGTAGTATAAATGGAACTTGCATCAGAGCACACCATAAATAAATTGATAAATTCATTTGGGTCATATAAAAAGGAATATATCACTAAGAAAAAAGATAGTCCCCCTTTTATATTGAGAGGTATGACCTTAGAAATTAATTAAAAAGGAAATGTAGACCTGGTCTAGTAGAAGGTGACACTGCTCAAGGCAGGTGAAGTGGAACTAGATGATTTTTAAGGTTGCTTGCAACACAAACCATTCTATGATCTATGAAGTATGTGAGTTTAAAAAATAAGAAAAAAGCCTCTGTGTCAATATGAAAACAACTACTTGCCAACTGAGATCCGTATTTTGCGCGAGAAGCCTGCCTTATTTAGAGGAGAAATTTCTGTCTTAAAGGTTGGCAAATAAAATTTGAAACTTTATGCAAACACGAGGCAGCCAACCTAATTTGTTTTACCCTTTTTAATGCAAAATTGGGCCAAGAGGCTTTATGGTTAGTTTCATCATAGTTGAAACCTTTCCAAAACAGTAAAAGCAAAGCTTACAGTGGGAATATATAGAGAAATCTAATCATTATGCAGAAATGGTATAATTGGTATAATGCAACTCAAAGTATTTGCATCAAGTAGGCTTAACAGTGAGCAACAACATGAAAAAGAAATAAGGGTGGTTAAGTAAAACAATAGGAAAATCTGGCTTGGCACAAAGTTGTATTTTCCTTGAGACCTTTCTGTGACAATACAGGAAACCAGGCTCTACAGATCTTTTCTTCTCAGACAGTAATTGGATGCATGCATCAACCTGAAATAGGAACTATATTTTTAAAATTTTATATATAAGCATGAAATGCTTTAATTTTGTAGGCAGATTTCTGAGTGGCACAAACACATGACAAACCCACTTGTGTAGAAGCTTGGGAATCAGTAGAAACCTGAGCTCCAGTGGTTTTCTGACATTCAACAGACAACAATGTCCAGAGTTCCCAGTCCTGAAATTGTAATCTTTTAACCAGAACCCCATGTGTTGCCCTATTTATAGGTCTATAACAGGCCTGGGAATTAATTAATGCATTAATAACCTAAAACGAACCAAAATTACGCAGACGCCATAGTGATATTTTCTAACCCTGATGCAAAAACTTATTGAAAAAACAACTGATGAGATTAATTTAAGAAAAGCATTGAGAAGATACATTTACTTGTAAAATTAACAGCATTATTCTTTTTCTTGCCAGCACTTACCATCATAGCTATCAGAGCACATATGTAACTTTGTTTCATGATAAATTGGAACACAGAGACCAGGGCATGTAATTTAACATTTTCTTTTTCCTCCTGAGTAACTTCCTCTTCCTCTTCTTCCTCCTCCTCCTCCTCTTCCTTTTCTAAGTAGAAAAAGAAAATCTTATTTGCAATCCCTGATGGTATATGCATCTTCCCCGGGATTAAAATTTTGCTTGCCATCACTCTGATCATTACTTCTACAGCAATCAGCCAGTTCAAGGTGGGAACCATAGACAAATTACATTTGAGCAATGTAAAGCAACACAAAACTCACAATCACTGTGTTGGTAAGCAAAGTATTTTGAATAGTATATGCCTACAACCCAATTAACAAAATCTCCATGTGGTCAGGCATCATAGTAAGGTGACAGCAATTATTTAACTTTAACAGGCCAAAGAGCTTACCAAAATGAAAATAAATGCTAGAGGTAGTGACTGGAGACACAGAATAAAAACACAATATGGAACTCAGGGCAATTCCTAGGCAATTCACTACCTGACATGCCATTCGAAGGCTCCCATTTGTACTGTGGTGTTGAGTACACGTCTGCCTTGGCCGGACCATTTTCTAATGGCAGTGCAGGGTGGATGGTGTGATAGTCAGTAGGGTTTCCATTCACTGTTACCAGCAGCACCTGCCAGGACAACGGAGAGAGGCACTGCATTCAGCGTGGCTCTTAGGAGAATGTGACTCCAACCTCTGTGCTTTGCTACTGTTGGAGTGCCAATGTTAAAAGAGGTTAACAAGTAACAGCAGTTACTTCCAAAGAAATTGAAATGTTATAGTCATGTTGCATGCAAAAGTAGTGCATAACAGCTTCCAAAATTAATTTTGTTAGCTTTTTATGCCATACCAATAGAATTAACCAAAAATTTATCCTCCTTCTAAGGCAAACTAATACATTGAGATTTTCAGACTTTAGTTCACAACTAATTATTTCCAGTACTCATGAAAATAATGGTTATAAATTACTTTCAAATTTGAACTATTACTGGTGAGATCTATATTTGCTATTATTAATAAAACCACTTGTGGTAATTACTGTTATTGATGGCACATTTCTGTCACGCAGTAGTACTAATTCAACACTCTTCCATTGTTTTATTTTTGTGACTTACATTTCAGCCCTTGTGCTTGTTTGGATAAAAGCTTCAGCAACCACAATCATTAATATCTCTCATATTGGCAAGAATTCACATGCAATGAGTTAGTGATGATAATACATGCTGAAGACTGACTTCTGCTCAAGCTGTGAGATAGGAGCATATTTTGCCCATCAAAACTAAGCACAGACATGTGTGGACTGTTTCACAATAGTATCTGGGTTATGTTCAGCTATATCCAGGGCTGCACCAAGCAGTGGAGCACATTTAAATATGGAGCTCCCAAAGTTCATCTGTATCTCCGTGCTTCTGTGCGTGCTGAACAGAAGGGACGTTTCTGCTTTCAGAGTCTGCTAGGGTGTATAGCAGTCAAGATAAATGGATCATTTGCTGTCTGTTTGAACAAAGATTTGGATTTTCTCTAAGCTGTAAATTGAACTCATATGCGTTGTCAGTCATGCTTTAAGGGGCCTCAGCATTTCAACATGATGAAATAAAAAAATACAGCAAAGAAACTAAATCAAGTTTAAAGGTGGCTTGCATTAGAAAGCATATTGTCATATCTTATTTAAACCCAATGAAATAGCAAAGATCGTTTGCCAGTTGGTACTACTACAGGCAGTTCAATTTCAAGTGATCAATCAGTGGTTTCTCAGTGAAATTATTAAAGAAGCAAACCACATTTATATTTGCAATAATAAAGGTTATAGTATAAATAGCAGGCTAACCAAAAATATAGGTTTTACAAATGTCATCTAAGGTTTTATCTGTATGTATCAGTGTAATCTGCATTTACACACATTAAGAAAAATTGCAAAATTACAAAGACTAGTAGTATACTAACATCCGATGGCTTGTATTCATCTTGGGTCATTGACAGAAGCTGCAAAAAGCAATGTAAGGACAAATTATTAAAGAAGCATGGCTCAAGCATTAATAAGTCTAATTTTTTGAATACATGCATGCATATATGCTGACTTTGGCAGATTTGCACTAAGAAATTCAGAAAGAATTCTTTAAAAGCCAGCAGAATTGTACACTACCATAACGATATTGAGTGTGCCATAGCATTGACATAACTTCACTCTGTGTTCCTGTGAATTTCAAAACAAAACTGGAGAATGTGGCACTGAAATTTTGGATACTAAGTCAAAGAATTAATCAGTATGGCATATACTGATTAACTGCTTTCTAATGTCCTTCTAATGATCCAATGCTTAAAAACTTAGTTTTTAAATGATCATTAGAATTGCTACAATTATAAAAATATCAATCAAATATCAATTATAAAAATCAATCAAATGTTTATAGGAACATAAAATGTGATACTTCATCCACTTGCCAGCTCATTTATCATGACTATTATTACGGCGGAGTTCTTGGGGCTTGAGTATATGTGGCTCAACAGAGTGTTCATATATCTTAAATTTGACAGTAACTCAACAAACAAAATTTTGCACTGCAACACGTGAGGATGGATGCTAGAAAGACAGACCTTTCCAGGAGACTTTACACCAACTGCCTTAACTGCCTTGTTATATATCTCCAAAAAGGACATTGGTATGCTTGGAGGAAGATAAGCTGGCAGCTCCACTTACCAGTGACAGTGCTAACTAGTAGTTAAGAGGCAGATCAGATCTTTACATCAAGATTTAGCTCCCCTACAGACTTTCTAGCTGTTTTGCACAAAGACAATGGCCCCATGCCAAAAGCCCATCCCTAAACCTCTTAAATGTGGAAGCCAAAAACATAAAGCATGCTCTTCCTTTACTTCCTCACACTGGCTCCTGAGTTTGTTTTATTCATTTTTATAAAATGTATTCCTACTCTGCCATACAGGCTTGATATTTTAGCTGATTTATATAATCACACAGGAAGATCTTCTTATTTGCAACCTATATAATGTTGTTTCCCTTAATTTCAAAGTAACCATGCAATGCAGAGACCCTTCCCCTCCAGCCTTACTTTTCTCTCATCAGTTGTATAGTGGCTTGCATACCACAGACTGCGTCTTGTCTCCGCTGGCAGAGGAATTGGGCTGCAGGGTATTTCTTTGTCATCTTCCCTGCTAACAGATTTCTCTTCATCAGACGACTGCTAAATGACAGCAAATGACAACACTAGCTATAGCTCTGTAAGAACAATCTTAGCAGAGGAATTTAATTCCCCCCCACTTGGTGCTCCCTCTCCAAAGCATGTATTTGAAACATCTTTTAGTGATGAATACACTCAGTTTATGATAGATAACTCTTACTGAGATGACACTTTCAGAACTGATGGCAGAGCTTTTCTGTAAGTGCTAGTTATGTGACACCAGAACTACACAGACCTCCACATATTACCTTAACTTACTATATAGTCATGCCACAAGCATACATAAATATGTAAAATATAAAAACCATAAAATATAAGCGAGCGTATATAAATACATAAAATATATAAACCCCCCCATAAAATACAGCTGTTTAATTTTCAAGGCAGTGTATTGAAAGAAATTTCACTCTTCTTATCCACCTATACATGTGAAAAGCCACTTTGGTTTCACTAAACTGAAGAACTGAAAAAACTGAAACCTTTTGAGCATATGTATCTACCATCAAAGACTAATCTAACTCTCCATACTTCAATACGTAACAAAGCAGCCAGTGCTGTTCATCCATCTAGGCTCATCTAGTCTTACTCTGGAGTCAGCAAATACCTGTGTGTGCTCATGCTCACATATAGAACAAGATAACAAGACAAGCCAATACTGATTTACCAAGGGTGAACCTGATTGGGTTTTATGCTGAAACAATTGGTTGAGCGCATGAAGGGAGAGCTGTGGATGTCAGCTACCTTGATTTCAGCATCTTTGACGACTGTTGCACATCATCTTTGCTGACAAACTGGTAAGATAAGGACTTGACAGATGGACCACAAGATGGGTGGAGAAGTAGCTAAACTCTCTTTCTCCAAGTAGGGTAATGGCTCAAAGACAAAACGGTAGTTCGTCATGAGTGGAGTTCCTCAGCGACTGGCACAAGGTCTGGCACTATTCAGTATCTTCAAAACTCTCTGGATGGAATTGCACCCCCACAAAATTTCTGAATGACACTGAACTGGGAAGAGGTAGATGGGTCAGAAGGAAGAGTCACCATACAGAGTTGGGATAACAAAAATGCACAAAGTTTAACCAAGATAAAGTCCTGCATCTGGAATAAACCCACATAACAGTGAAGGCTGTGGACAGACTGTGGGGAAGCAGCTCTGTGGAACAGGCTCTGGGGGTGCTGGTGCACAGCAAGATGAACATGAGCCAGCAGTGAACTCCAGCAGCAATGAAGGCAGACATGTCCTGGACTGTATCAGCAAGACTACTGCCAGCAGATCAAGGGATGTGATTATTCCACTGTACCTGGCAAGCGTCAGGCCATACCTGCAATTCAGTTCTGGCATCCCCTAGTTCAGGAGAGACATACAAAATCTGGAGAGGATTCAACACAAAATTGTCAAGACGATGAGAGGGTTAGAGAAGCTGAAGGATGCAGGAATTAGGCTTTTCTCAGACACAGTACTGTAGTTTTTGAGAAGACAGAGGTACTCTTCGAATGTGGGGGCGTGGTTATAGGACAAGAGGCTAGGGCCATAATTTGATTCAGGGAAATGCCTTCTAGATATTAATATAT